TAGTCAGTCAGTCAGAGAGACAGGTAGGCTGCTTAATTAGCTATACCTATATAAGCCTGAACAGCTTATACTAAATATAGATCAGCTTTCTCTTCTTAAACACACCTAACATAGTCAGTGCCTGAATAGCAATCCATCAGTGCCTGGATAGCAATACTTAATAAAATAGCTTTATTTATGCTAAAAGAAAACGAAGCTATATTATTATATACTTTATTTACTTTAGCCTTAAATATAGTTTATAAGGTATTTCTATATAGCTTTAAAATATAAAATTTCTCTTTTATTATTTTAAATCTTTTCTTTTATAATAGCTTTTATTTAATTTATAATTAAACTTAAATTATATGCTTTTTTTTTCTGAATATTTCTTAATCATAGGATGAATATCTTTTTATATTTTATATTACTTAAGAGAGATACTTAGCAATACTTAGCTTAGTATTGTCTTCCATTCTGACTAACATTCAGTTTTGCTGCTTCAAGAATCTCATCATTTCTAACGCCCTCAATCTGCCACTCTAGAGCGCTGGTGAATCTCATCGCCGTCGCCTTTCTCATCGCCGTCACTTTATTGCCTCGTCAGTTACCGCAACTCTTCCCTTGACTGATGGGAGACTCTGCTAATGACATGCCTGAAGGCCACGGTCATGTTCATGCTCCTGGACCAAAGATTTATGACTCTCTTTCGTTGCCGCCACGATCAACGTCATGGATCTAATCAGCGCAACTTTGTGACGGTTGACACGCGCTGCATCACTTCTTGCCCGCCGCCCTACTGTTCGCGGAATTTCTGAAATCCGTCAGCTATTGGGCTTCTCTGCAGACATTGGGTTCGCCTTCCTAGTGCAGTACGTTAGAGACCCGGGGCATACGAGCCATGAAGTTATGTGATTTGTGCTGACGATTCCTTCCTTCTAGGCAATGTTGCCTTGAGTCTCTTCAATCAGCTGGCTGAAATCCCCCGGGCGAAATGCGTCAGATCGTCAGGCCTGATGATGGTATGCCACCGACCAGTCCCAGTGCAGTTCTCAGCCGCCCTGGAGACCATACCAACCCGAGGGTGATTGAGGAACCTCTTGCGGGAAATACGTCTAGAAAACCAGATGGACACTGAGCCTCAGGGTGCTGTTCTTGCAAATACAATCTGTTATCATTCCACGGCCTTCGTTCAGGACTGCGGGGCGTCCTCACCTCGACGGCCTCGCCAGTTCAGGTTCTCTGCGCCCGACGAAGAGGCACTTGTTGGCAGTTGTCCCACATGGCGCTCTACCTGTCGCAGTGTTCCCTAGCTGCAACATCGGTCTACTTTGGCACCTACTTCCAAGGTCACTGAGCCGAAGCCAAGACGGCCACAGTACCGAGGAGCGGTCGGATGTTCGTTTGCAGTGCTGAAGCCGCGCGTCCGTGACCGTGCTCGCCCCAGTCTACGACTACATTTCCTCTTTGGTGTCATCACTCGTCTATACCCTCATGGTTTCACGCGTCACTGGAGCTTCACCTTTCAGACACTCTGCAAAGGGCAGACGCCAGGAGAACTGAATATCGACATTTTGCAGTTCTCAAGCTGCTCCTTGAGGTAAGCTGAACTATTCCATTCTTTCGGTAGCACAGACGTCTGACGAATTTTACAGAAAACTCCATGTGCCAAGGCTGAGGGCACAGTCTGCTTCAAATCCCTCACCCGATGGGTTCTGCTGCAACTCACGTATCCGAGGGCCATACTGAAGAGGGCACGTTTGATCACCGTGGCAGGTACACAGTTTTCACAGCCGTACAGTTCTCCAAGGCCACCTCTGCTCCTCGTTGTATCCTGGGTGACAGCGTTCTCGCCTTAAGTCCTCGCTCAACTGAGGATTCTTCTCGAATTCCTCTGGAACTTTCCCCAGGCTGTCGTGCATCGCCTATCAGATTCCACTGAGCACTTCCTCATCGGCCCAAAGACCAGTTTAGGAAGAATGGACATCGATATGTTGCAGTTCTCAAGCCGCTCCCTAACGCGGACTGGTCCATTCCCATCAGGTCGTTAGCAAAGGTCTAACCTACATTACGGAAGTTTTATATGCGGGTTCCGAGATTGTTTGGCTCCTCTCTTGCAGTCCGCTCTTTTTTTTTCTTTGCCATGCGCTGTCTGGGGACGTGACATTGCCAGTGTTGCCAGCAATACTTGAGATTACCCGCCTTTGTCATGGGGTTGAGCTACAGAATCTTCATGTGCAGAACTGGAGGCACATTCTGCCCCGGATTCTAGGCTGTGCCACTTCTGCTGCAGAAGGACTGTTCCTTGACCATATGTGCTTCGAGGGCGTGACGAGTCCGTCACATGGAAAATGACGGCTCTCACGGGAGGGATATCCGGATTCAAAGCAAGGAGCCCGTTTGATTCGCATTCGACTACTATGTTACGAAGAAGCGTTGACCGTGGGATCCGCAACACGAAGCAGGCTACTACAGCATGGCTGCTCTGAGCGTTCGGCTGATCAAACACTGGCAGAGTTTGCAACTCCACAGTTCTCTCCCACGCAAAAGATTCCGACTCTGCGTCTTTCATCCTAGAGCCTCAACACCAGCCCCATTCTTCTACTTCTGGTCTACGAAGAGATTCAGTATCAGAATCAGAACGACCTGACCCCTCAGGCGTCACTTTGAGCAGGCAGTCGACAGGCAACTAGATTGGACGTCGCGAACATTACACTCGAAAGTGTCGTATCGCCGACAATGCCGTCACTAACTTCTCCGCACCTGAGTCGCTCTTGGTCGATACACCAGCCAAATCCTAGGCGTCCAGACCCTTTTCGGAACTGCAAAGGACGTCCCATCCGAAGTCCAACGAAGATCAGAAAGCAAGTCATGGACGTCATGGACGTGGCAGTTGCTCGCGAGTCCCACAACTGCACCTCTCCACTCTTCTGCATAGATGATTGCAGGGATTGTGTGTCGTTGCACCGCAGATGGAGCTGACAAATCGTGGCACCTGTCTGGAAGAAGAGTTGGGCAAATGCCAATCACAAGAACAAGAACGCGGATCGCGAATATTCAATGTGGATCATAGACCCCTGGTCACCGTCCCAAGCATGGTCCATCCCAGCAATCTCCCGACTTCCCAACTTCCCAATCTCCGTGCTGCACCCCTCTTGCCCTCTCTTACGGACACGGGCCGAGGCGTAAGCAACGGCGCCGTGTGGCGACTCTTGCCTTTGTGCGAGATGATTCGATTGGAGCCTATCTATCAGCCTCCCGTGGCTAGATCACGCAGCGCAGCCCATCGGCCACACCACTTCATATCCAAGTCTACAACTAAGGTAGGTACATCTTGATGCACCGCGTTCCGATACTGAAAGGTTGTTTCACGTTTATGGCGGTCACTCTGTGGGGTCGCTAGCTGGGCACTAAGACCTTCGTCATGAATAAGATGGCAAAACCGAAGAGTTCCCCGAGCCATTCAAACCGAAATCTGTGCACCCAGAGATTCCGGTTACCATGTCAGCGAAGAGATCGTGGCCGGCGAGGACGGAATTGAGTTACATTCCTGAGCCGGCCTCGCTTATTCTTCAAGGAATCTGGGGGCTTACTTACGAACTTCTCATTACCATCGTCACCTGATCTTGCCGAATCCTCATGCGTTAAATATGATCACACTGTGAAAAACGTCATCAGCCGGCAAAAGAACAGAATAGGAGAATCGAATCTGATTTCGCTGGCTTGTGGTCAGTCCTGATCCAAGTTAGATAAAACAGCCTATTGGAGAGATATCTGGCCTACGACACAAGCTAGAGACTACCTACGAATTCGCCTCACCGTCTCGCTCATTCCATCAGGAGTTTGGGGACTTACTGACGATTATCGCACTATCTTCACCTTACCAATTCACCGCATCGTCTCGCTCATTCCATCAGGAGTTTGGGGACTTACTTACGATTATTACCTTATTTCCACTTGATTTCACCAGAGTTAATCCAATTTTACCGGATTGTTGCCTTGTGAGCCCTAGCGCGCTTTGTTAGCCCTGGTGGGGCAAAAATTGTCGCGCTAAACGGCCCGCTCACTCTTGCGCACAAAACGCGTCGACTGAATCTTGGCAAATGCCCCTCTTCCTTCGCTTGTCAACTGGAACCTCACCCTCCTCCGCTTCCCGATCGCACACCCTGCCGTACCAGATACTACTGTTGCCCGCAACTCCTGCCTGCTTTTTTTGTACCTATTCAGCCACGCCTTGTCACCAACCCTACCTTACCGTGTTCCCCGCATCATGTCCTCTGAGGATCCTTGTGAGGACGCCCCGACCGGCGAATCTTGGGGTACCATGCAGCCCTCTGGCTCCTGGGGCACCAGCACTGAAGGTGAGTTCGCCAAAACCACTCTATGAGCCTGTTCTAACTCTATCTTCAGGTGACACTCAGCATGACTCTACAAACAATGAGACGGACTCCTGGGGAGCTGAGCTGCCTGAGGCCTCCGGAGCCTGGAATGACGCTTCAGGCGACGACGTCACTGCTCCAGCTGAGACGGCCAATGTCGCTGCTGATGGAGCCAACGCCGATGAAGACGATGGCAAGTCCCAGAAAAAGGCTCGCTTCCCTGGTACTGTGGACTGCTTTCTCTTCATGAACGGAGAACGCCTGCCTGGTTATCATCTTGATCACATTCGCCGCGTTGCTCAGGGTGTGGAACCTGGCTTACACACCACCGTCGTCCCGCACATTGGAGCCAACTCGGAAACGACACTCAGCGTCTACTTCCAGCTCCGTGATGGCGAGAAAAACCACCTTGTCGCAATCTGCAATGTTGCTGTCGCCCAGTTACCTCAACTCATGACAGCAGACCAATTTACTGTCACTGAAGACTTCGTCAACGACCATTTTGCCAATGTGGTCTCCCCTCAGGGAATGATGGCCAACGACCTCGGCGACAAGTACAAGCAGCACTTTGCAGAAATGGACCCTGCTGCCCCGCTGGTGGACTACATGGCTCGCGACTTCTCAAACGCTATACGTATCAATATGGAAGCCACTGGTTCTTCCGTCACTATTTTGTTCCCTCAGCGATTCTGGAAACAGGTTGACTCGCTGCCAGCTGATGGACAGAAGATCGCCTGGTCCATCCGCTATCTTCTGTCTTCGCTCCAGCCCAAGACCTCGTTCACCTGGTGGCTGCTGTTCCCGGAACCCAAGGATTCTGATTGGAAGACGCGCTGGCAAGCCCTTTTAACGCCAGACCTGAGACGGAATCCTTATGCCCTTATCGCGAAAGACGCGCGTCGCGGCTCTCCCAACGATCTGTATTATGACAATATAAATCTGGAGACAATCGAACGCCCTGATCCCAGACACACGCCAGCGGTCAATGTTTTCTGCTCCAGAGATGAGAGAACGGTCAGTTTACTCGGCGGTGCCGCTGACGAGGGTCGTTGGCTACTCACCAAGGGCCTCGAATGCGAGTCAACGAAACTCCCCGCGTACGTGCTTCCACTTCCTGGGTCGGAATGGAAATCTCAGAAGTCAGACGACGAGTTGTACGGTATCAGAGGAACTGGCTTCCCTACAGCTTTCCTAGTTTCTGTTCCGCTGGACTCTGTTGAAGACCGGGATATCTTACCCGATGTCGGCACGCGTGTTCAGATGTACACGACCCTGAAACAACACCGGCATTCTGCACCTCTGAGACGTGTAACTGCTACGCAGGCAGCTACCATGACTACGGCCCTTTGCGAGGGACTAGCTGTGGCTGAGAATCGAGCGTACAACGCATTGCGTGATGCCGAGAGGAAGCTGGCGAAGATGAAGGAGCAGGAGGCCGAAGATGAGGACGGCGACGACATCGCAGAGCAGGAGGAGCTCGTTGCGGGCATTCATGAGCAGAAATTCCTAGATGTCGCTGCGCCAAAGATCCTCTCTTACATCGCAACCTTCTCCCCTGAAGCCGACCGAGAAATTCCCGACGCAGAACCCGACGTGAAACGACTTTACGACGCTTACAACTATGCAAAGGAACTGCGCAGACAGGATTCGGAAGATGAGATTGAACACCGCACACGCGTTATGCTCTAGATGAGCAAACAGTCGGTCGTCTCTCACGCGGCTCTCGATGAGAAAGACGGTCAACCATGCCCAGGTATACGAGTGCGTCTCCCCCCGGGGGTACTCGCTGACGTCGCCGTGTTTGTCATTTGGGCTCCGGTGCAGACAAATTGGCCGTTTGGCTTGAAGCGCCCGCCCGTCAGACTGGACGTTGCCCAACCCTTCCCTTCCGACCTTGGCGCGTATTTGAATGACCTCTCCAGATTCAAAGGCAAAACTACCATTCGCATTCAGTATGATGTGGACGACAAATCCTTCCAACACGAATGCTCGGGCATTAGCGAAATGAACAGATTGGCACTGGACTCCCCCGAAGCCCAATGGTGGAATTTTGTGGTAGCATTCGATCGGAGTCTGATGCCCACTGTCTGCGACCTCACGGAAAGGTTCACCGGCCTTGGCAAGGCTGTCAAACAAGGAAGATTCATTGGTCAACACGCTCAGGCAATCAAGACCTTCAAGGAAGCAGTTTTCGGCCGGGTCAGCCTTGTGGGAGGACCTGGATCTGGGAAATCTACTTTGGCAACCAACGTCGTTGCTGCCATGCTGGAAGGCGAGATGGCTGAGGTGCCCAGCAGACCTCGCAAGGAAGCCGACTACGACGCAAAGATGAGAGAAATGGGAGAAGCTGGCCAACTCCTCGTCAACTACTCGCCTCCCGATCTTCAAGCGGATGACACCGCGCGCAATCCTGCTCAATGGGACGACACCCAGGAAACAGAAGGATATGCACCAATGGCGGATGACTCCACGAACCTTGCTGATTTGGCCCGCCGCGCACATGACGTCGCCCAGGCAACAGAAGGACAAGCACCAATGGCGGATGACTCCATGGATCCCGCTGATTCGGCCCGCCGCGCACATGACGCCGCTCTGGACATCCTCATAGATTCGCTTAGAGTGACCGATGCCAGCAACACACTGAGTCCCTCCGATTCTGATTCTCGGGACGATTCGTCACTGTCGAAGCTCACGCCTATCGTGTGGACGGCTCCCCAAAATACGCAGGTGGGAGATGCGGTTCTCCGCCTTCAGGCCAAAGTCCAAAACAAGCGCATCATCCGTATCTACCCTTATGATGATGAGTTGCGTGTTTTCATGGCCGCAGTCTTGCACGGTCCGGAGGACATGGCCATCGACGAAAATAGCCCACATTCTGCGAAGCGACTGATCGCTCACATCAACGGCTTCCGGGCTGCGCTCTACGTGGAGAGAAATCCGGCTACAGACCCCTCATCGCTTGCTATGCAGCTTCGTGAAGAAGTTGAGCAAAATCCCGATGCCTACCCAGAGATCAAGGAAGCTTGGGATTTGCAGGTGTCAAATCCAGCCAACTACATGGTGAACAAGCGCGACTATTTCGACTCAGCTAGAAAAATCATCGCCGATTTTGTTTGCAAAGCTGATGTGATTGCGGGCACCCCGGTGGCCCTCCGCATGTTGTACAACCACGTGCCTGTTCTCAAACCATGCTTCGTCGTGATAGACGAGGCAGGTCGGCTCACAGAGAGTATGGCTGTTTTACCCATCGCCCGCCACGCGGATGTGCCAGCGCTATGGATTGGTGACGTCAAGCAATTTGGCCCAATCGCCGCAGCCGAACAGGATATTGAGTACAACCCTATCTTTACGGCTCAACGAAAGCGAAGCCTACTAGCTCGAATGGAAGGCGCTGGGCAGATCGACTTCGTCCTGTCGGAAAACCACAGAGCTTTTGGCGATGTGCACGATTGGGCTCGAGAACAATTCTACTCTGCCGACATGACGATCGTGAATCGAAGGAACCGCTATACCAAAGAGGTCCATGACTGGCTCACGGACGAATGCGCCCTCAGCCCGGGACAGCAATCACGTCCAGGAAGCAATCTTGTGCTTGTTAATGTGGACGGCGGAAAAGAACAACAACTCGGCACCTCATACGTCAATCACACCAACGCGCGATATGTGGTTGAGCTTGTCTCACGCATTGTAGCCTCCGCACCAGCCTGGTCGCTAGACAGCTATCTGCAGAATCCCCAGGCCGATGCCTCCACCTACCAGTGGGCAAAGATTCTCGTTATCACTGGCTACAGCCAGCAGAAGCAGCTGTTACAGCAAATGTTTTCAGCCATCCCGGCTCGAGAGATACCGCAGGGCATAGTCGATATTCGGACAATCGATGAGTCCCCAAGTCATCAGGGTGAATTTGTCATTTGTGACCTCGTGCGATCTGAGAAGCCCGGGTTTATGACAGACGACAAGCGTCTCGCGGTCATGACGACCCGAGCACGTATGCTCACCATTCTGGTCGGACAATCTGCTATGTTTCCACAGAGAGGCAAAGCCCTGGGCAATCTGCTGCAGTGGCTCAAGACCCGTGACAGCGTGATTACTACCCACGGATGGTCGACATTTTGTACGCATTGTCTACGTCCGGGACACGTGCGAAGCAGATGCCAGGAAGACGTGGCATGCGCTTTTTGCGAGGGCACCCATGCCGGCCGAAATTGTCCTGGAAAAGACCTCGATGAGCCTTTGGACAGAACATCCATCCAGCCGCTGGATAATGTGTTTCGGACAGCATTCCCCGCCGACAAGTCCAAGGACAAGAATCAGGAAACAAGGATCAAGCGCAAGACGCAGCAAAAGCGCATGGCGTACAGGGAATCATCCGCACGACAAGAGGTGAAGCGTTTGGGTTCGGAGTTACGGAAAGCAATGAAAAAGAAGATTGAAGTGGGAACAGAGACCTCTAACGCTAAGACTCCCGCCGCTGAGACTCCCGCCGCTGAGACTCCCGCTGCTGTTGAGACTTCCGCCGAGACTCCTGCTGCTGCTGAGACCCCCGCTGCTGCTGCTGCTGAGACTCCTGCTGCTGCTGCTGAGACTCCTGCTGCTGCTGTTGAGACTCCTGCTGATGCTGTTGAGACTCCTGCTGCTGCTGTTGAGACTCCCGCTGCTGCTGTTGAGACTCCCGCTGCTGCTGTTGAGACTCCCCCTGCTGCTGTTGAGACTCCCGCTGAGACTCCCGCCAAGACTCCTTCTGCCGCTGTCAAGTCTTCTGCTGAGACTCCCGCTGCCGCCGTTAAGACTCCCGCCGTCGAGATTCCTGCCTTATTCGAGACTCCTGCCGTCCAGTATCCCATCGAGGCCGTTGCCGAGGAAATTGGCCCGTATGAGTTGTGGTAGGGCATGACATACGTGGATACTAGAGATATGGGATGGATATCCAGCAACTGGTGAGGGCTTGTGATGGATATCATACGTTTTGCTTACGCAGTGCTTATGCGTGATTGTTATCGTGTCGGGATTTCTTCCATTTTTCATTTCCTTTCGGTAATACGGAGACTTTATGCTTCAGGGATGATTATGCATTTCAGGCACGGTCACCAGACTCATCATCCTGCATTGAGAAGCCCATAGCTAGCTAGTTCTTTCGTGGCCATTCTTCAGTTAGTACATCCAGTTGTTGTTCTTTTGATACCTCTCGCCTCCGTGCAACCCGATCAGCCAGTTGCAACATGCACACCTGAACCGCCCGGACTCCTTCGACCCGACGGTTCAGAAAATTAATATCGAAGGCATCATCAACCGACGACCGCGGGATGAAGGACTGGTTACATGTTTGCCGGCTTGGGTAAGCTTGGTAGGCAGATCCAAGACTGCTCATCCAACAGCCTAGCTGGTTCCAAAGGAACCTGGGGGCTTGTTTACGATTCTAATCCCTTTTTTTCTTCGCCTTCTTCCCTCAGTTCATCCCACCTACCCATAGAACCTCACTACTCTGACACTTTGGTACATTACCGCTTTCGATTCAGCCTCAAACACCACAGTCGACTACCGCCTAGCGAAACGATATGCAAGGTTACAGCTCACGATCAAAGGCAAATCAGTTTCCTGCACTACGTTCTACTACGCCCATACCTCATTACGAAATCGCAATCACCTCGATCCCAATCTCGATGCGTGCCTTGAAGAGCCAAGACGCCCCCGATGCCGTGCGTGGAAGAGGTGTGGTACTCCTTCCCGAACTACAAGGACTCCAAGCGAATACGAATGTCGGCCACGGGGTGTGTGTCAGTAGAGAAGGAGGTTGAGTACTCCTTCCCAAACTGCAAGCGCTTGCAAGCGAGCACACAAAATTCTCTTCCCCAGGTATTCATTTCGAAAATCCCTCTTGAAGACAGTTGAATGCAGTCATCCCGTCCACCGACCGATGATCGGTATTGCATCCGATGGGATCAATCCCGCGTGGGACCGCCATTGACAGCATGGAGCCAGAACAGCATGCAGTACCGGACGCTATGGGGGCGGAAATGTTACTCACAGGTTTATCGCCTTCAATGATCTCGATCCCTCCAGACATCGTCATTGACGGCACGGGACAACAACGAGATGCTGCTCTGGATTCCGGAGAAGCGGAAGTGGTACCCGCTGATTCGCTGCCTTCACCAATGCCAACTCCTCCAGAGACCGCCATTGACAGCAGACAGCAATCACAGGATGTGCTTCGGAAGGCCCTAGAAGAGGGAGAGCTGCCTGCGGATTTGTTCACAGCCGATCACCATTGGCTAAGCGTACTCCTCAGCAAAGCCGACATCAGCATGACGATAAAAGCAGCCATCGAGGAATTCCAACACAGGTATGTGCTTATCCTTTCATTACAATCTACCGGCACTAACTCCACTACAGCATTCAAGCACAAGTCTTCCCGCAGTCCTCCATTGATGTCATGGCCTTCAGCAAAGACGAGAAGCGACAATCCTGGCATTCACACTGTCCTACTATTGATCAGCTTTGGGACCAATATCTTGAAGCTATCAAGGCGTGCGACGATAAGTTAGACACTTCCTTTATGTGCAAACCATCTGGGCCATATGGGGCGGTCCTCTACACCCAATGGTATGTGCGTTTCCGCTTCAATACTTCAAGTTGTACTAACATGTAGTAGGCATTATCCGACCTTCAACACCAAGAAATCACACTTGAAGTTTGGTCATGTGCTGGTATGTTCTCTCCCGCGCATTTTTGAGTCTCGGGCGCCTAATCCATTCCTTTCTTTTCTGACTCTTTTATTACAGGATACGAGTAACAACAGTCTGGCCCTCCAGTCCGAAAAGATTGGAACTCCGTCCTCCATATTATGCTCTGATATGCTACCGATCAGAGAGGATGCCAAGGACCCAGGATGGGAGACTCGCTTTCCAAAGTGGAAGAAGATGGCTAAACTCAGCATTGAGTTTAACTATACTTTGATGAGAGCCTCGCCAATTGTCTTACTTGTTGGCTCAAGCTGCCTCGAAACGTTCGACAAGTGTCTTCAAAATGACAAGAGCATCTCCCTTACAAAAGTGCGGCTATTTGTTCCTGGCGTGTTTCAGATACAGCCATTCTTCTATGTTGCATATCGGAAGAACACACAAGATGTCCAGCAGCTTATCTTCTTCGTCCAGCATTCCAGCCACTTTATCTACGGTGCTCCCCTGCCAGGAGGGCTCTATGCTGATATGGTGTAGAATACCACAGCAGCTATTGCGAATATCCAAGTCAAGCGGAGCGATCTCTTCACTACCAGAGCAATCCAGAGGCCACACCGCGTCTCACCGGAGCAACGCAGGAAGAATCTCGAACTGGCCCGCAAGGCGCAAGCAGATGCCGGCTGGCCGAGTCTTGTGAAGGGCCGCCAAACAGAAAAGGAGAGAGGGTACCCATCGCTGAGACAAGGCACCGAGACGCAAAGGCAGAATGGCTTTCCAAGTCTTGTCAGAGGACGTCAGACAAACAAAGACAGAGGATACCCAGAACTCGTCAAGGGCCTCCAGACGCAAAGAGAGAATGGCTTCCCAAGTCTTGTGAAGGGCCGCCAAGTCAACAAGGAGAGAGGCTACCCAGGTTTTGCAAAGAGCCGCGAGGCGTTCAAGAAGGACGGTTGGTCAAACCTCAAGGCGGCCCGGAAGGCATCGGCGGAGCAAAATTATCCAGGTCTCGTCAAGGCCCGGCAGGTCCTCAAGGAGAAGGGGTACCCAAATGTCGCAAAGGGTCACCAGACGATGGCGAAAAGCGGGTACCAAGGTCTCGCAAAGGGCCGCCAGACGATGGCGAAAGGCGGGTACCAAAATCTCGTCAAGGCCCGCCAGGTGCATATGGAGAAAACCGCCGCCTCTCGTTTGGCACGCCTTCGCGCTCTCTGGGAAAGCTTCGAGGTGCAGACCCTTATTTCGAAGCCACTGGACTTTTTCACTGAAGAGAACGTGAAAGAGATGTACCTGCAGTATACGACGTTTCACGGGTGGGCGACACCACCATGGGAGGATCTCTCGGGCTCCAAGAGGTTCGCGCTTACACGCACCCTCAAAGAAATCTCTCGTGACTTCCGGGACTTTGAGGCCCTCTGGGCAACGTTTCAGGGATTTGAAGCAACAAAGAAAAGTCACTACCTCAAAAGATACGCGATCTGGTATGACGCTATTACATGCTTGTCCGGGCTTAGGCCTTGGGAAGAAACGAGCGTCAGGAGCCAGAATCCGAATCCCGCGATAACCATATTCTGGCCTGGTGGTCAAGCGGGACATCCCAACCTTAAGGCGCTCCTGAATCGCAATGAGCCCACCGGCGACTTGTCAGCTGCTGGCCGCAAACGAAAGATTGCCATAAGCGATGCGACAGTGACAGAAACGCCAGCCAAGCTCTTGAAGACCGAAACGGAGCCCGAGCCGAATTCCGACACTCAGGCTGACGGACTTGGGACCGGACTTGAAGACTCTGATGGCTGAGATACACCTCTGACAAGGCGTGCGAAGCTACGATTCCCTGGATGAATCATCGGAAGAATGTGCCTGGGATCATCGACTGGCTCCCTCGAGCGGGGACGCATTCGCTTTGCCAACCCGGGGGTATCGCAACGATGATCATGACGGAGGACTATTTGCGTTGACAATGTTGCCATTTTCCTCCCTTTTCGTCAATTACCGTTCTACTTGATGCAATGTGCTTCTTCATTTCTGACCGAGAATGATTCTTTCTTCATTTCTTCATTCTTCTTTTATGCTTCTTTGCTTGTCTTTTCTTCGCTTTCCTTTTTACCTTGCCTTCCAGTTCTTCACAAGAGTGTTTCAATTCCTATTCTTTAATCGCCCTCGACGGCGCCGTAATAGTGGAGGATTGTCTCCAAGATGCGCACACTCTCTAATTAGTCAGTGCAATTGATCCAGTCTCATTAATCTCTCCGCTTGGTCTTGCCTCGCAATTACAGCCCGTGATAGCCATGAATCAGTCTAAACCAGTCGCAACACCGACTTCAATTCATACCAGTTCGGAAAACACGACGTGAGTGTCAAGGTCATCATTCAAGCAAGAAGGAGAATTAGCAACTGGTCGTAGTAGAAAGTTTAGAATAGACGTAGCGAAATTCCTGCATCCGAGACCACCACACATTTACCGTTACGCCAGACGCCAACATTGCTAGCATGGCCTCACAGTGAAACGCGTATATCTGCCCATCCAGTTTTTCCCTGGGTTTGACGATTTCACCGAACCCGCCTTTGCCCAAGCTTCCCTCTCCTTCAGATGCTGGGCCTGACAACTTCACTCTAATAACGCACCAGCCAAATAGCAGAGGACGAGAGCTTCAAGCGCTTCTTCGCCCGCGATACGGTTCTCAGCAGAACACTTTGGGTGAGATCAGCTCCAGGAATGGTAGCGCGGTCGCAGGACCGAGCCTCAATGCCCAGATCTTGATTGGAAGCATCGAACAAGACAAGCCTGATATGCCTATGCCTGATGAACAGTAAGTTATACACTGGTTAGACGAAGGAAATGGACATGGTGTTCTGATACACGCTACAGCTACGAGGGCTAGAGCTCCAAAGAGCTGCTTCAGTAGTAGCAGCCGCCTGGTGCAGCAAAGGCGAAGGCGAGCAACAATGGAATGTTTAATGTTCACGAACCTCGCTAATGGCCCACACATGTGGACTGAAACCCGACCACGCCGACGGAAGATAAAGGGAAGGCCAAGCTCACGATGCCGTGAAACCCCTACGAAGACGGCGAATGCTAGGCCCCGAGCCTCAATGCGTCGAGGGCCAAATACGCCAGACGTGTCTTCCGAGCGAAAAGCAGAAAGGTCCCCAGCAAAGTGGTCGATTGCTTCTATTACCTACCTGCGACGCCATGTGGACAGCGAATGCCCACCAGACGTGCACTGCGGCAAACGAACAACGACAGTTTGTACCCAGATGTTGGCAACAGTCGCCATCAGCGACCCAGACGGCATAGATGTCAGTATGCTGTACACAATAAGGGAGGCGGTCTGAAGCTTATCAGACTTCTCAATAAGGTACAAAGAGCACTCCGCCAGGCCTACAGTTTCTCAAAGAGGCGAGACCAAATATCCAAAATGGGTGCAGCAAGCATAATGGCGCAAAGCGCCCAACGCCCCGCTTCGATGCACTTCTTGGTAAGCTTGACGTCCATAACATGAAGAATCAAGTGCTGTGGGTGCACTCTGTTACGCGTTCATTGTTCGGTCTTAGAACAATCCTACCAAGGATCAGCCATGGATAAAGTATACTCTATATGCCCTAGGGTAGAAGGAGGTGGGCTTGAACATAAGCGTTGAATGATGCCTGGCCATGTTATTCCCAAGCGGAGCTGCGGAGCAGCGGAGCGCAGGTTTAACCAGAGAGAAACACTACTTCCAGCTTTGCTTGGTTATCAACTCAGCTGTTCCTGAATAACTAGGGAGGTTAAAGAAAATTCGACTGGCGATTGGCCAGCAGCAGCAAGGCCAGCAGCTTCGTGAGGCCCGGCTTCATCAGGGCCAGCAGCTTCCTCAGGGCCAGCAGCTTCCTCAGGGCCAGCAGCTTCGCCACCTAGGCCAGCAGCACGGCCAAGGCATCAGCAGCAGCTTCGCTTGGGCTCCTATGAACGCTTGAGCGGGCATCAGGGTTGTACAGAATGGTCAAGGTTCCACAGAAGTCCATAAACCTGCTACTATGCCTAAGCTGAGCAAAGCCATGCAGGGCAAGGAACTTGTCTTCGCAAGCACTCAGTCTCGACCACTACGAGCTTCGTGAGGGACCCCGTTTCCTTGATGCCATAAACCAGCTCATCTGTCTCCTGAGCATTCCATCCCGAGCCCCAGAACATTCCAAGACCTAACCATCGAACAAAACTCGAGCACATTGTCTGCTGTTGCATCTGCCAGTTGGCTTCATCGGCTGCACTTCAGATTGTGTCGTAGCTTTCTTCCCTTTCTCCGGGTGCCTTCGGAGGAAGCAACGCGAAGTACACCGAGAGTGAAAGAAACGACCGAGCCTGTGATACTTCTGGTACAGGATTATTAGTAACCTAGAAACTGTGTCTGCAGAGTGAATGCTTGCTTACCTTGGTAATAGATGCAATCAACACTGAGTTCGAATCTCCCACAGGGAAGATCAAGCTGGACTATGCGATAGGAGGCGAGGCCCATGCCCGACTCCGTCTCGTAGATAAGGGATTTAGTTGGTTTAGATGCGTGTGTCTGTGGTAAAAGTGACCTCCAACGAGAATGCCAGGGCCTGTGATAGGTACCAGGGAGATAGACGCGAATGTCTGTGTAGTATCGACCGCCTTTCTCATCAAGAGTTGCGCGACCAGCAACAATAGGAGCCACCATCCACTCAAAAATGCGTTTACAATGGTCCGACTCATCCTCGTGTTCGATCTTGCGAAGAAGTTTGGCAGCTTGGCATGCATTGAAGCGCCGCTCGGCATCAGCGTCCCTGTCGGGCATTGCACAATCAGCTTCCCGGAAAATGTAACAAGAGAGGACACGAGGATGAATCAGACTAGTATTGCATTGAGTGGGTGGTGGCTCCTATTGTTGCTGGTCGCGCAACTCTTGATGAGAAAGGCGTCATTATACCTGGGAGGCGATTCTGAACAGGAGTCCCCTTTGAGTGTCGAAGGTTAGGTGAGTGGTAACCAATGCTGCAGCGAGCATAGCGTTATACGGCCCAACCCCCAAGACGAAGTCTAAAGAGCACCGTGCAGGAGGTCGCAAGACAATGAGAGGCAAATCTCCGTCTCAAGCGAGACTGCCAGGTGACAGAAAGCCTAATCTTGTCTTCTTGAGCTGGTTAAGAATGACCTTTCCCCCAACGACATAGGGGAGATTCGTGAGCTTACCGAAACCCTTAAAGGATGAATATAAGCATCTGGGCCTGGAGGCGCCTTTCATTGGCGGCGTAAGAGAAATCTGCAGATTGATGCCACTGTTGAGGATGGGCCTAAAGACTGGCCCGAAATGTTTGGGAAACCTTGGCAGTGGCTTGGGAAAGATCTGATCCGACTTCGGAACTTGACGGCTCCTGGCCAGGCCATCTGTGAGAGACAAGGGCGATTGAGACAAAGGTCCAGAAGAACAGTGGACTCGAGTATCGAGCAGTATAGCCAACAAAGTAACTTGCTTGACTGGAAGAGGCGGTGATGATGCACAAGAAAAACTGCCGCTCGGGCTGGTGGGTGTAGTTATAGACACGTGAGGCCGCGTCCCCAGGACCTAGTAGTAGGAAGGAATAGCAATAGAGCTTCGGGACTGCGCATAAGTCACTCAGTCATGCAAGGACAGAAAAGTAGGGGATGCTTCTTCCCGTGAAAGCAGCGGTCAAGACATCTTGATGGGTTGATCATATGCATTTTCCCTTGCGTGTCGCGCCCTAAACGTAACATAATTCCCCGCGTCGTTGAGCACCACTTGCGAAGATTTCCTCGACAGCTCGATGCGAGGTAGGCGGTGTTCACTGGTGACGAAGTTTCCCAGGCGGATAAAAGAAAGAGAGAGAAAGGCAACACGCACTCCCGGGGCCTAGCATGCGCTTGATGACGGGGCTTGTGATAATACTAGCCGCGCGCAGCACGACCAACCTGAGACGTCGCTGGAAGCGCGCGTGATGCTGTGAACAGAAACACCGAGAGCAGAGGGGAGTGGTGATGCCATCTGTCAAGTCGCCTGAGAGAACTTACGCAGTGAATGCCGCCTTTTTCCACCTCTATCGTACAGCGTCTCTGAGCAGGAGTCCCGGTTGAGTGCGGTTGCAAGGCAGATGAACTGTTGGGCGAGGAAACGATAAGTTGGGGTTGGCTTTCGACACCACAAAAGTTGCGAGACTGGGACGCGGCGAGCAGACCCGATAATCGACTTGGCAAGCGTAGTTGCAGCTGCAGCCTGGCAAGCGGCTGCAGCCCCCGAAAGAGACTTGCCGTCGCATCTTCGTTCTGGTAACATGCCTTGGCCTTGTCTCACTGTATTCCGCAGCCAAGTAGAATCGAGGGGAGCAAATGCTCTACAGTCCAGCTCGTGATATAATTACCTGAGAGAGGCTACCGTTAAGAAGATCGGAAGACGATAAAAGGGTGGGTCTGCATCTCACGCGAAGCTGCGAGACACGAAGAACTGAGTCTGGGTCTCAAGCAAGCTAAATGCGCGAGCATACGCCCTTTTTTCCTTCTGTGATCAAGAATACTCTGCTGCAATAGATCAGCCAGATGTCTCTAGAACCAGATTGGGGTGTATGACGATGGCTGAACGGCGAGCATCTGCTACATACCTTAGCGCCGCCTGGGGAGGTGTCATTGAGAGACCAGAAGGGGTGGGCGGAAGGATCCGACCCGAGAAGAGGGCGTGGAGGAGGATGGAAGTGCTAGTAGCTGGATCTCTTGAATCCAGCTTGCAGATCTAGCAAATCAAAGTTCACGTGACCTCACATCTGTCGCCTCCCGAAGACTTGAAAACTCCACAGATCCTCTCGACGAGGGCAAACCACCACCACCACCATCAATAAGCACATACCACCATACTCGTAGGTAGTGGAAGATGTCCAGGACTGGCTGCGAAGCTAGGAATGAGAACGATCGATGTAGGAAATCCTCAGCTTTCGATGCATTCAATTCGCGAAACGGGAGGTACAGCGGACGTGGGCAACGCCATCAAGCTCTTCTCACAGTTCTTCAAGAGCTATGGCGAGATTGAGCCGAGGATTCTGGTGGACTAATGGGGAAAAGGGGGCGTTGGGGTTGTATATACAAGCTGTGGGAGTAAACGTGGGAGCCATGTGTAACAGGAGACATATATGAGGTTTTGGGCATGGGCATAGGAGTGACTTCAAAGCAACTGAGAGACGTTGAAGACGAGATTGAGCGAGGAATCACTGCATATCTATATTCAATATAGGACGTCAAATCAACATCCGGAGTATTTATTCAAGGGCGGGAATGTAATCTAAGGTATTACCTCCCCATACACTCATTAAGCCCCTCCTACTCTTCAGGGATGCTATAGACCACTGCGTACAGGTGATTGATAGCGAGATTATAGTTGATTAGCGATCTAGCCCAATGGCTGCTCTTAAAAGCTCTCATTGTCCACGATGATCACTGAGAAGAAGGCCACGCAATTCCAGGCCAAAGGGTATCTCCCACGAGGAGTATCCCAGGGTCTTGATGAGGCGGTTGTTCATGGCCTTGGCCCATCTTTGATCTTTTTAATTCGTTTTCCTCCATACCCTCCCCCTTTCTGGTGACCGAGACAGGGGAGCCGCCGCAAGCGTGTGTGGGAAAGCAAGGCTTCTCTGCCCTTTCCAACCCATCGCCCTTTCGTTCTACCTGAACTACCTAGTATCCTTATCAATAGATTCATATGTTTTATTACCAACTATCTAAAGGCCCTAGAAAAGAATCAAAATTATCTACTTTCTGCTACTATCGCTATGTTCTTCTACTCTTGCCATATGCTTCTAGTTCCAGCACTTACCGTAGTATAGCACCTGCTTCGGCGGCGAGGCCTGCTCAAGATTAATAAAAAGGCCAGGAACCACAAGCTCCAGCAGCAAACGTTTGAACCCTCGGCGGCTGAGCGCGAATCGTTCGAAACCCTATAACAACAGCTGACGAACGGCATGAAGCTACACCACCACAATCCGGCGAGACGAACCGTTGTGAAGTTGGATGCGAGCGGCAGGGGAATAGGCGTCTTTGTTTTTCACCTGCAAGATGATGAATGGACGCCTCCGAATGTTCCCAGGCAGCGCATACAGCCAATCATGTTCCTCAGTAGACTGCTGTCTAAAGCGGAAACGCGATACAAGCTGACTGAGCTGGAAGTGGCGTGTCTTGTCTGGTCAGCCCGAAAACTGAGAACATTAATTCAATCCTGCTGTCAGCCAGTGACCATTCTAACAGACCATCTGGCTATAAAAGGCATTGTTAACCATACCACTATGAAGACGTCCAACCTCGTTAAGGCAAATGAAAGACTGATGGCAGCGTCAATATATCTCAGTCAATTTCAAAATTTGGTGGTGAGGGCGCCTTCAGTCATGTCAACGACCTTGTTGCCCGTCATTGCCAAGCCAATGATGTCCTCCGTTTTGGGGTTGTCCTTTGGTATTCTTACACACGGGAGGCTGGTATAGACAACCGGATGTCGTCTCTTTCGTCCCAAGTCTTGATGGCTGTCCAATGCCCGCCTTTTCCAGGCCTTTCCGAGCATGAATAACCGAGCAAAGCTCTGTGGATGGCTTCCGTCAGGGCTCTCATGCTGTCCACGGACATGGCAGATTGGTTCACGGTCTCTACATGATGGACCTTATCTCGCAAACCCATGGACTGCCTGAAGGATGGCGTTGTTGAGGTGCTGTCCTTCCGCTTCCTTTGTCTTTTCCTCGTAGTTGGCTGCTTTTCGGGAGTTGCTTTGCACAGCTGCGATTTCATCGCCTAGAATAGTGGTGACAACAGTATTCGCGAAGGTCGACTCCCTGGAACCAAGTCCTACCGTGAGGAATAGGCGTCCCATGCGCGCTTTCTTTGAAGTATTCAAACGCTTCAGCGTGCTGTCCAGAGAACTTTCCTTCCTTCATAGCCTTGCCGAGGCCGGTGACCTGTTCAGTGAGGTCGCAAACATGGGGGCATGGGAGTTTGGAGTGAATACCACCATAGAACTCCACCACTTGGCTTCCGGCGAATGCGGTGCCAGTTCTGTTGATGTCACTGATTGCCGCGCATTCGTACTTGGCATGGAAGTCATCGTCCACATAATATTCGATGCGAGCGATGACTTTCTCTTGTGATTTGGAGAGGTTATTCCAGTAGTGTCCCCATGTTGAACGAGAAGGGCTGGGCTGGGCGACGTCCAGTTTCAAGGGCAGCGGCCTGGAATTGTATGGCCAGTGTTCTTTGCCGTCGAGCTTCGATCCGAAAGAACTCGCAGAATCCGGCCAAACGCGTTTGTAGATGAGCCCCCAAATTCCCTAGGGGAACAAGCTGGACTTGGACATGCAGTACCGAACGTAGAAAAAAGTGAAGTTCAAATCGTAAGAAACTCCTCAATGTCTTTGGAGATCAGGCAAGAAGCAGCCAGTGTCGTTGCCAAAGAAACATCAAGCGAGCAACTGGCGCTCAAAGGGGCTACCTAATAGTTCCTAGGACGAGAGTCTCGAGACGAAGATACTGTAATAGTGTTGAAGTTGCAAGACATCGAGGGGGATCCATGTACTGTAAGCGCCGTCCAGGGAGGGGTGGGCGGAGGGATCTGAATCTGACCCCCCTGCCAGCGAGAGGAAGGGTGGTGTGGAGGACGGTGGAAGCGCTAGCCAGATTTGTCACATGCAGATGGCAGATCTACTACCGTGGATCTACGCGTCACGTGACGCATACCGAAGACTTGGAATAAAAACTCCCTCGATCCATCTCGACATAGGGCAAACCACCACCGTCCACAAGCACATACGACCATAGGTAGCGGAAAGCTCGGGGTCCCGTCTGCTCCCCCATAGATAAGCCGCTAACCGGCAGATTAGTAGTTGGGTGGGTGACCACCAGCGAACACCGGCTGTTGTATGTTTTTGTCTCTCTTTTTTTTTTTTCGTGCCTTTCCCACTGAGTATCTTGAATGTTTCCTTCTTTTGCCTGTCCAATTATGTATATCGAGATGTTTTAGGAAGGTTCTAAGAAATATCGCTAGCAGTATTCGGCAGACTCACTGAGCCCTGCATGATAATCATGAGCATCTGGCAAGGCCATTTCCCGTAACTGAGTTTCCTGTGGGGGTTGATTATGACTTATACATGGCTAGAAATATAAGTAGGAAAAGGAGAAAGGAGAAATATTGGTGTCAGGGCTAGACGATAGGCATATCAAACTGTCGCAAGCTTCAACCCGTGTGTCTTAGCCCGCATTATCCAAGTCATCAACAAAGTATTCTGCTTCCCAGTCTTCGTCTCCAATTATGCCACGCTCGCCTCCCCGTAGTCTTCGTCCTCCCATCCCTTCTCACACCATTGTCAACTCGGATGTCCGGAACGTCGGGGGTTAAACAACGTTTCTTGGATCAAGCGAAAGGGGGGTTTAAGTTTTACTCTGAAGCAACAGACCTTTCTTCATAAAGCCTACGGCGTCCCTGAAAAAACAAGAAAGACGATGCACTGTTTTGGTGGCTGAAGTGGCTAACTCTATTTCAACTTGCTACCTTACCCGACGGCACGACGATGTCTTCTTTATACTTTTGAAGCCCCAAACTCTTTTATTTCCCAAAGGCGTTCTCGTAAACTGTACCATCCTCATGTGGCAAGCCTTCTCTTCTTCCTTGAATCCCCCAACAAGGGACTGGTATAAGTACTCCCCATATCCTGCATCTCTCCTCACCCATGCTTCTGCCAGTTCTTACAAACCCAACGCATAGTCCTACTGCCCTTCAGCTCTTACTCTACTCACAGTATCTCATCCTATTACAACAAACCAATTTTCTGCCATCAGAGATCATACTACCACTCACTGATCTCATCCCCTTACAACAAAGCAACTCTGCAACAAGAAGAAACCATGGCTGACAACCAGAACACCACAACCACGCCCTCCGCCGACCCCAACAACAACTCAACCGCCCTGAGAGCGGCCGTAAAACAGCAGATCCAAGACATTCTCGCCACAAGAGAACGGGATCCAACGTCCATCAGCCCCGAGACAGAAAGGCGAGCCAGGTTTCTCCTGTACATATGGGACTTCGCCCCTTACACCCGCGAGTCCGAAGGGCTGATGGACCTGTCCATGGAAATGGAAAGGCGCGTCATGGTCGATGCCAAGTACGGCGGCGAGGAAGAGCCCGCGCGCCTCCGCGGCTTCAACGCTGAGCTTTTCCGGGTCGAGAATGGGGACTGGTTGGCTTCGGCACTTGATGACGGGGTCCAACAACAACAACAACAACAACAGTCCGTCTCTCAACAAGAACAACAACAACAGCAGCAGCAGCAGCAGCCTGTTACAAAGGCACAAAATGCTACTGCTACGCCTTCCATGCCCGCCGCCGCCGCCACGCCTGCTCCTCCTGCCAAACTCTCAGAATCGGCAAAGCTGTTTGAGGTTTTTGATTTTGAGGCCAAGAGCTGCGAGACGTGTAGGCTGCAAGAGCTGGAGAAACGCGCGTTGTCCAAGGAAAATCCTGAACTACGCAGCCTGCTTGACTTGGAGTACGTTGGTACAATTAGGGTTGTAAAGAGGACTGTCAAGAGAAAACGAGAGGACAAGAGCGAGAAAAGCAGCAAGAGGAGGAAGACGAAGGAGTAGCAGAAAGTATGAGAGTATTCTTTTACCTTGAATAGGGGTAATGAATCGATGTATCTTTATCAAGATGCTGGGGAGCCAAGTGAAGGCGCTGGATAGCCATGATCCTTTCTAATAGTTAGATAGGGCCCTGTTAGGGGGAAGAATGCTTAAAGAACTGTTTTGCTGCTCTGTCATTAAATCAGTCCTCTGCTACTAACTCAGTCTTGTCAAGATATAAAGTTGTACTTCATATAAAAAGATACTACCAGTTTACTGACTTGTCTGCCGCAGCAGGGGCCAACAACGCTCTCTAAGCAAGCTCTGTTCATCACTCACTCCAGGTGTCTTCATAGCGTTTCTATCCCTCTATAAACAAAAGCACTCCCCTACCATGAACCCAACTCCAAAGCCTCAAGACAAAAGTTCCTCCCTAATGCATCACAAGAGAAAAAACAACAACATTGCTAAGCCACCGTAACTCCCCCCATTTTCCATCCCTTTCTACGCACAAGTACTCCTCAACGACGACACCGGAGCCGGCACCGGACTCGACTGGAACATCCTCGAAGGAGAATCCACACCCCCCACCCCAAGCAGTTGTAACCCCCCCTTGTGATCCCTCTCACTTCCAACAGCATCAACAACGTCGTCCCGCGCAGCAACAACAACATCTCTCTCGGGCGTGTTCCCCCTCGTCTCCGCAACAACACTCTCCTGTGACGACGCAGGAACAGTCACGATACCATTTGTAAACCCCGTCGACGACAACGTAGACGACTCCTGCGACAGACCGGGGGAAACTTGCAATGGACTACTGGAAGCCGCACTTTTCACTCTGGAATGTATGCTCGTGTTGTGCTCCGTGGATGTACAACTCGTATTCGCTCGTCTGCGCATAATGTTTGTCGCCGCCGTCGTCGTCGACGGAGGAAGAGGCTTGCGCTGGAGCTCGGAGAGGGGCACCGAGGTTTGGCCCGTTCGCAGCTTGTAGCCCGCCAGGCCGAGGCGCAAGCGGAGGATCTCTGCTTTCTGCGCGCGCGGACAATGATTCTTGTCAATTGGGATTTCTCATGATACAAACGGGGGAGGGAAACCAGGGGGGGGGAGAGGGTTGGTACCTCTCTGGCTTGCTCTCTTGTCAATGCCCGTGGTCTCGTCGTAGGTATGATAGGTTCTGTTGCAGTCGTGGCAGTCGTGATGGTGGAGGAATCAAAGAGGGAGCTCGTCTCGACGCTGGGCGAACTTGATCGCGTGCTCTATAACAACTTTGTTAGTTCCCAGATAGATAACGATCGCGAAACCGCGCCCACCCAACCCGCTTTTGCTACTCAATCATAAACAAAACGCAGGCAAATCATAGAAACACCAGAAAAACATCCCCCAGAAAAAAAAATAACCATCAAGAAAAGGGAAAAAAAAGAAAAAAAACCGTTGAAACTCACCCCATCAACACACGCCTTCTTCGCCGCCGGACTCTCATCCACAACCTGCTCCTCCCCACCATCGTCCTCCTCTGCGCCTCTCTTCATCCCCTTTGCTAACTCGCTCTCTTCCTCCACCCCGGAACTACTACTACTACTCACCGACGGCGTGAGCAGTAGCAGTGGCGGCGGCGGCGGCGGCTGTTGTTCTTCTTCCCTCGCGACGACGGCAACGACAACTTTCTTTGCGGGCGTGGAGGACGACATGGCCGCGTTCGCGTCCAGAGAGCCGAGGACGGCGCGTCGCTTTGTAGGCGAAGCGCTTGCTTGCATTGTTTTTTCTTTCTGCAGTAACAACCAATGGCTTTAAGGGAAAAAAAGAAAATCAGAATCAAAACAAGATTTGTTTTTCTTGTTTAGAAAAAAATAAAGAAGAGGATAAAGAGGAAGAACAAAGAAACGCGACAAGGTAGAGACGAGAGCAAGTCGCGCGCCCACACAAAGGTAAGGGTATCCGGTTTGAAGATGTGGGGTGTTGTTGGTATAGTACTTGTAAGTAAGTAGCGGGCAAAGAGATCGCGCGTGTGTGTTTGGGGTATGGAATCGGAACGCAGCAGCAGACAAAACGCCTACTATATCGTATCTGTCCTTGCTTTTCCTTCTCCTCTCAAGATTTGGCAATAAGTGCACTGTGCAGCAATCAATGTCTTTTGCGATGAATTATCGCGAAATCCGTTCAATGGCTGAGCAATAGGACAGCAGCTCTCCAGAAGGTCTGCAAACCAAAAAAAGTCAAGCAAGCTCAAGTAAAAAGGACGAAATGCCTTGGCTTGCCTCACACGATCAACAACAACAAGAATGACGCGCCACCAAAAGAAAAAGGAGGCAAAAGACCAACTCAAATACCTACGTACCACCAAAACGAAAAGAAAAAAAAGTAAATAAACCAGCCCTCAATCCCCCGTTCCCATACTTACAATGTACATACTTACATACTCCCCAGCCCCGGAGCGTTCCCTCTTTACGCGGCTCTTCCCCCAAGTCGCGCTCCCCCTGGGAAGAAAAAGTCCCCACTTCTAAAGCCGAGAGAGAAGAGCTTCTAGTACTTATAGCTCCCCATATTTTTTTTCTAAAACCAAGAAAAGAGAACAGAAACGCGTCTTACTATATATAGCTTAGCGTGAGAGGTCGCCTTCCCGTCAGCGAACCGCGTCGCCGGATCTTCATACTATGCTTAAACGGGACTAGCCCGGCGGTAACAAGGTCGAGCTTTTTGACGTCGGCTTGCGCTAAAGGGAAGGGAGCCAAACTTGTCGACGCCAGATCTACCGGCACATGACTGCGAATAGGCATGCAGAGAGGCACATGGACAGGGAGATATCGACATGTCACGGCATCAGATTAGGCGTACAAAAGGCCACAAGTTAGTGTACAACTCTGCCAGAGAACCCTCGACTACCTTGCTGCGTACCATCAGTACGCATCACGATGGAGCCATCACATACGATATGGCATTGCATCGGTGTAGGAAAGTACTGTTGTATGTATTCCTATTCATGACATCCGTAGACGTCACTCGCTAGTCCCAGCTGTATAGACAATCGTCCCAAAAACGCAGGTAGAAGATCAAGAGATTCACTCTTGAATACTTCTCCATCCTTTCCGAACCAAACTCGCACTCGTAAAAGAAATCACTATATTACCTCCGGTCCATGCAGATCCGTCCGGGTTTCATCACGTTTCGAAAAACGGCATAAGCAACAAACTAGAAAGAGAAAAGGAAGCGGCCGTGGCAAGAGAAACAAAAAGAGTCTCTAGAATCTCGCGCGTGTCCGTCAAGTAGCATCCGTTACCGCCCTGCCCCAACGCCCAGCCAACAAAGTTCCCGCACCTGTTCATTCCGTAATGTTTTTACTTTTGGAAAATGGCACCCCCCTGCTTCTCCTGTCCAATAGACAAACCACTGTGATATCAGTCATGTCGTCATCTGGGTATATATCCTGGGTCCTTGGCTCCAAAGGTAATGAAAGGAGAGAAATAAGCGCAAGCATAACAGAGAAATGCAAACGGTAATTACGTAGGAAAAGGGTCACTTTCTCTCACCACCCGAGGTGAAAGAAAGTGGTGTCCATTTCAAACGGTTTTGAGAAATCGGTCGGGTTGAGGTCCAAGCCCGTAAGGGTGGGGGGCCGCCTGATCTGGAGTGCAGGCTGAAGAGCGGCTAACGCGTCGTCAGAGAGTTTCCCGTCCATGTTGAGCTCGTGGAACTCTGCGAGGTAGTCCCGGTCCAGGCTCTGCCAGTACATTTCAATGTCGAGGGCAGCATTCTCAGAGATGTCGCTGTTAGGCTCACTGCTGAGGCCGTCCTTCAACGAGTCCGGGGTACTCTTGGGCGTAAACATCTTGAGGAACTTCTTTCCCTCGTTGGCGACGGTCGGCAGCCCATCTTCAAAGCCAAGGTTCTGGAGTAGAACGTGCGTATCAATGGTCCCGTTGGCCCATGGGTCTGGCTTCGCAGCGTCCTTGGCCTGCTTGCCGTCACCGGGCTTTGCAGCTGCATCCGGCTTGGCGCCAGCCTTGACGTCTTGGCCTTTGCTTAGTGCGCTGGCCGACCTCTTCATGGTTGTGCCATCCTGGGACATGGGGGTGAGAGCAACGTTTCCAGGGGCTTGGCCCTGCTTGGATGTGGAGGCACTCATGGCCGGGGCGCCATCCGCAGGCTTCTGCTCCTTCTTGGGGCTGCCGTCAGCCTCCAAGCCCAAGGCCAGCGCAAGGTTCTCCTTCAGGTACTTGACCGGGTCTTCCTTGGGCTTGATGTGCTCTTGCTGCACGTGATGCTGAAGAGCCTGCTCGGTGGGGAAGCCAACGTACGACATATCGCAGTTGGGCTCCGTGCAGGAGAATACAGGCTTCGGGGGTGCCGGAGCCCGTCGGACGTCCGGAGAGGCATTCTTGGTGATCTGAGGCGAGGGGGTAGCTCCCTGAGACGGCGGACCCGAAAGCTGGCCGCCAGTCGTCTTTTGCTTCTTGCGGGCGGGCGGCAGCTGCAAGTTCAGGTCCTTCGGCTTGCTCATGTAGCTCGGGTTGCCATGGGGCGACGTTGCTCCGAATGGGAAGGGCGGCTGGGTCGTGGTCGGCGCAGGAGGGGGACCCTGGCCTGCCTTGCTCGCTTGTTTCTGCTGGCTAATCTTATTCAACGCCTGGGCATTCTTCTCGAGATTGGCTGCGTTCAGAGGAGCCGGGTGCGGTGGCTGGCTCTTCTGCTGTGCATGCTGCTGAGCTTGCTGAGCCTGCTGCTGGGCAAGTTGCTGCTGCTGCTGCTGCAGAGATAGTTGCTTCGCTTGCGCCGGACCATGAGGCTGACCTGGCCCCTGCACACCAGGCTTCATCATTTGCCGTCCTATTACGCTGGCTGCCAGATCCTTGGCCATGCTCTCGAGCATGGCGCGAGCCTGGTCCAGGTCGGAGGAGCGGATGCTAAAGACATCCTTCATATGCTCCATCGCTTCGCCATCAGAGTGTTGCTTGATGATGCGCAGACGCTGTGAGGACAAGTTAGCATGCAGTCAGGAAATCATGATGTTACCGATGCAGGAACTTACAGTTCTGAAAAACATCCTGGCACGTGCATCATCTTGAGTGATGGCGTACCATTTGCTCAGGCCACGGCCAACCTTGCCCATGTCTGAGACGATTCGCTTCAGCTTGCTCGCGGTCTCTGCATACTCCTCAGGGCTCATGGGAATGTCCTGCGTTTGCTCTTGTTTGAAAAGGTTCTGCTCCTCCACTCCAATCATCTTAAGACGAAGCAGCGATTCGTTGACAGCTGGTGGCACGGCTGGTGGTGCGGCTCCCGTTGCCGCCGCCGCTGCTGGTGTCGTCGTTGTGGTTGGCGGCGTGGCCTTGGCGTGGTTTTTCATGAGCGGCCCGAATCTCGAATTCATGTTCGCATCCTGCTGAGGCGCAAACTGGCCGGTCATTGAGGCCATTCTCTGCATTTGTTGCTGAGCGGGTTGAGGCTGTGCCGGTCGAGAGACGGGGGTGGGAGCCTTTGCGCTGACGGTATCAGCAGCATCGTCTGGGTTGGGCCGCTTGAGGTTCTTGGCCGGCGGCTGCTGGTTGTTGCGATTCAGGTTTGGCGTTGCGTTCGGCGGCGGCTGCTGCTTCTGGTTGTTCGTCTGCATCGGGGCAGTTTGGCTCATGGAGTTTGGCATCGGCTGCGCCTGTGTCTGGGGAGTAGTGAGGATGGGTTGAGGTTGCTGAATCTGCATGGGACCCTGCGGCATAGTCATGTGGTTAGGAGCAGGTTGTTGCTGGTTTGCTTGGGCCTGGGCCTGGGCCTGAGCTTGAGCCTGAACTTGGGCCTGGGCTTGAGCTTGTTGAGCGCGCAAATGCTGTTGCTGCTGCTGCCAGTTGGTCCTCTTCATCTGGAGGATCATCTGTCGGAGCTGCTCGTCGGGGACGTTGACCAGTCCCGGCTTCTGACTGCGAACGTGCATCATCTCCTGAGCCGATACCTGAAGCAGCTGCGGAGGTATGGGGGGCATCGGTCGCTGCATTCCCGGCTGCTGATTAGCAGTCATCTGCATGGGCATGGCGGGATTCATGTTGACTCCCGGTTGTCCGGGTTGTTGCGGCACGGTGCCATTGCGCCTCGACATGGCGATTTGGAACTGCCTTTGCTGGATGGCAGACAGTTGGCTGCGCATGTTGGGCTGGAGGTTGCCATTGTTCGAGGCGATCCAAGTTTTCAAGTCCCTCCATTTCTTGACCTCCACAGGCAAGCCAGGGATCTGGTTCACAACGTTGGGAGGCAGATCCATCGAGTCCATAACGAACGCGAGCTGGGGGTTCGGGGGATTCATACGCGCCGGCGGCATCGGCTGTTGCTGGTTCCCTGGACCGGCGGCATTCGGTTGCTGCATGGCCTGAGGACCCGTGGCGGCCATGTTCTGTCCCATCGGGGCAAACTGGTTCTGAGGCCGGTTGCCCATCTGCGGCTGCATCATCTGGTTCCCATTCATCGCCGCCATCTCCTGGCGCTGGCTCTGCCAGCGACGCACGATGTCTTGCAGCTTGTCGGGCGCAAGGCCATTAATGGCTTGCCTTTGTTCCGGCGTCATGTTGGCAAGCATGGCGTTGAAAGCGGCGTTGTTGGGCCTCTGGATTCCCTGGTGAAATCGCTGGTCGCCAAATTGGATGCCTGTTGGGCCCATGGCCTGCGGTCCCATGGGGTTCATCCCGCCAGGTCTTGACACGGGAGTGTTCAGGGTGTTCATGCCTGGGCTCTGCGACGTGGGCATGTTTGCCGCCATTTGTTGCTGGTTCTGCAGCTTCATCTGCGCCTGCGCTTGCAGAGCTTGGGACTGCTGGGCAGCCTGGTTGAGCTTGGCCTGCTGCTGCTGCCGTTGTTGTTGCTGCTGCTGCTGCTGCTGCTGTTGGGCGGCCAGGGGCGCCTGGTTTTGCATCTGCTGGCTGGGCATGTTCTGGTTCCCAGGCTGAGAGCCAGCGGCAGCCCCCCCAGTGCCACCACTTACTGGCACGACTACCTGGCCCGCCTCCTGGGCTCTCAGCCCAGTCATCTGCTGATCCTTGATGCTTTCCATGTTGGGGTTAAACTGAGAAAAGTTATGGCCTGCGGCAGACTGCTGGTCGGCATTCATCATGTTCTGCCTCTGTTGTTGGAGCGATTGCTGACTGAGTTGCTGCTGCATCAGCGAAGCTTGCGGGTTGTTCTGGTTGGCGGCATTGTTTTGCTGGAAGCGGTTGTTGAGCGAGGACTGTTTGAGAGCCTGGAAGGCTTGATGCTGGTACCACCAGAGAAGGGGGTCCTTGGCCTGCGTGTGGAATTCGGCAAGCTGCTGGGCGCTGAGCCTCGACTGCAAGTGCAGCCGTGTGCTGTTCCTCTGTTGCTCTGTAGCTTGATTCATCAACTTGGTGGCAAGCTCATTGACCTTGGTCCTATCAGCAGGACCCAGCCTCGCCATCTCAACGGAGAGCATGGGTCTGTTGGGGCCGCCCGGCATGCCCATGGCCTGTTGGTTGGGCGCCATGCCTCGGCCGGCCTGGTTGGCCATGGCCATGGGCATCTGGGCCTGCTGCTGTTGAAATATTTGGGGTTGAGGTTGTTGAGGTTGCTGCGGCATCTGGGGGGTTTGCATGGGATGCTGCATCTGCTGGAATCCCTGCTGAGGCGTCTGTCCGGCACCCCGTCCCCCTATGTGGAACATCATCGCCTGAGCCTGTGCCTGTGCCGCTTGTTGCGCTTGCACTTGGGCGTGGGCATGAGCCGCCTGGGCCTGGGCCTGGGCGTTGGCGTTGATGCTGTTTTGCAGATTAGGCTCGTTTGCCTGTCGTCTCTTAAAGAAGTCCATGATTTTACTGGACATGGCTTGTTCATAGGCCTCCTATATTTGTCTTGGTCAGCTTCTGTTGTGTTGTTCATTCCTTTTTTGGATGGCTCAAGACCAAGGGGAAATAGTACGCACCTTTGTGATTGACTTGTGAAATGCATCTCGCTCAAACTGGCACCCAAACTCGGTTGCTCGGGTGTAGTCGATACCCCCCATGCCCAGAGCGATATTGGTAATTCTGTAGGCGCAAGTCAGCTCCAGATTTCCCCCATCATTTCCGCGCCGCTCAGTGAAGGAAGCTCTCGCAGTACGTACAGGTCTAACGCCTTGCCCATTCGATCGTTGACAGGATAGCTTGACTGCCAGGACATGCCGCTCATCGGCGCGGTGTGTTGTTGAATGTTCTGGTACACAGCCTGCTGCAACTGGGCCGCAGTGGGCTTTCGCATCTGCTGGGGTATCATGGGGCCTCCGCCAGCCATGTGCTGCATGTTGGCAGCCATGGCCGCTTGTGTATGCGCGAGACACGCTCCAAGCCAATCTGAAGGCTGGTTGCCGCCACGAAGCAAGATAGAGACAAGGGATCGCGATGGGGATCAATCGGGAGAGAGCGGTCGATTAGTCGACGTGGTCGGAACGCAGTTCGTCGGCAATCAAGGCGGCGCTCGTAGGATACGGCGGGCGTGCGGACGAGTGGATGGTTGTCTTTCGTAGGCAGGAAGCAAGCAGCCGTCAGGGTATACTGCACGGTGCCTCAGCAGCCTCCAATCCTGCGTATCCTGAGCCCGGCAGGGAATGCACCGAAGCAGGGTTTGGGCCGCGTTCCGGAGAGACGCCCGAGTCGCACATGCGCTCACTGTCAGAACGGAAAAGTAACCTGAAGCGCGGTCAGTGGGATAATGTCCGCGGCCAGGCGCCGGCGTCTCGGGGGTTGCGGCGGCGTGATGGGTAAACAACAGAGGCTGGGTGGGCTGCGAACCAGATGCTAGGTCGAGATTGGCGGCGACGGACCGCTGAACCAACGTTGTTTCGGGAGTGCGTCGAAATGAGGGTATCAATGAGTCGTCGATGCTGTGGCAGGGCACTGGCGACGGGCAACAAACACAAGAGAGATGTGAAGGCGCTGCCAAGCAGGAATTTGGTGGTGAGCGGCAGTTGATGGGCGGGAAGACACGAGAGATGGGCGGATTGGCGTGACGTCCAGGAACGAGGAGATTAAGGGCCTCGGGGGGGGAAATTCAGCGTAAAGAGAGGAAATGGAAGAGAAACCCGGGTCGGAAACAGCAGCTTGTGCAGCGAGAAAAGAAAGTCCCCGTGCCAGCGACAGGGCGAGAAGGTGAGGAGAGGAAGAAGTGAGGTGAATGTGACAAGGCGGGAAGAAGAGGGATTGTAGGGCGAAGAGAAGAGCAGCAGTGGGAAAATCGATGGAAGTGCAGGCTTGGGGTAGCAGAGGAGAGAGCCTAATTCCACTAGTCGGGGGGGTACGTACTGGCGACTCGGCATCGACCTGCGAGAGGTACGGGTACAAGTACCCAGGTACCGCCAAACCGCACGGGACACAGGGCAGCAGAGCAGCGCTAGGCCTTACGGGCTCACCTCCCGCCTGACCAGTTTGATGCGCCATGCAGGCTGCAGTAGTGCTAGTCGAAGGGCTTCCATTGATGATAAGGTCTCTCGTTTAATCATTAATCACGGCGACGAGAGATGGTGCGACGGGTGTTTTGGTTGACATCTTCACGCTGCATCATTACCGAACAAGTCAGGCGGGAAGTTCCAGTCAACAGCAGCACCACGTTGCTGTAGGTAGGGGTACCTAAGACAGAGGCAGGTGCTCGTACACGGCAAGTAACCGCACGTACCACACCGGACCTCATCTACACAAAGCTCGAAAACTGCAGACCGACCAGCGAGAAGAATAAACAGACTGGCAAAAAGTATCCGTAACTCTGACAAGCACGGCACCTCGCTTCGCAAGTATAGTAGGAAAAGAGAGCGACCAGAAAGGCAGAAAAATGGGCGATGGCTTATGAGCAGCGACGTGGACAACTGGCTCAGCTAGCGCTGTATTAGAGTTGCAACAGGCCAAAGCCATGCCATGCCACGGGATGCCTCGATTCGCGGCCCCTTCGCTCACTTCTGTCCTTTGTCCTTGTCATCTACCTTGGGTACTGGGGATTTCTGCTGCCAGCAGTTGCTACATACACGTAGTCGATCATAAAACCATTACCCAGAGAGCGATTCTCCCCAGCGACAGGAACTGGCGATGGAGGTAATTCGTACCCAAGAATGCCCGGCAGGTCTGGATGGATACGTGGATCATCTCGGGGGGGCGCAACAAGGGAAGCAGGCCGGCCTGCAAAGGCTGGCAGCTGTCTGTCTGTCTGGCGCCTCGGGTCGTGCAGTGGCAGCATCGAATTGTAGGGCTTGGGACAAGATGGAGGCCAAACAGAGGCGTGGAAGGCTTCTCGCGGCGGGTGGGCCAGGCCAGGGATCCCCCATGTCCCTGGTGCCAGATCCCTGCCCGGCCATCCACTCAAATTAATCCTTGGGCCTGGCACTTGCTCGCTGCTAGGGTCGCTAGTAGGGATCCAACACCTGCTAGTTCTCTGTCGCAGTGGCACTCTGGTATGACCAGTTGCAAGGCATCGTCTGTGGTGTTTGCCTTGTTGTTCAGCTCCGGGGACGACGACGAGTATCGCACAGAGCGAGGGAAGAGTAGAGCTTGCGGGAGTCGTAGGTGAGGATAGAGCTGGGAGGCGAGAATTGAGTTGAAGGTGATGCGAAACACTTCAGCCCGCAGATTCAAGGTAAGATACGGTACGTATCGCCACCAACTGGAACGGCTGCCGGAGTGAGAGCCGGCCCAAGAGGTACCCGGTACGAAGTGCGGGAGTGAGGCACGTCGGGGTCTCCCTCTCTCTCAAGGTTCTCCGTACACGCGCCAAGTCAGATTCGCCAATGTCACGGATTGTGCAGGCGGGCTGCGGAGCATTAAGCACATACAAGCCAGGCACGACATGCCTTGGTTCGTCTGGCATTACATACCCATCAGCGGAAAGCCATTGATTGAGTGGCATATTGGGCCTGAAGAGACGGAGCAAGAAGAAGAAGAGTCCATTCTGTGCTTGTGGGAAGTAGGTAGTTGTACTTGTACTCCAAGGTAGGACTGCGATGACAACCCATGCAGCGCTAGACCTGGGTGCTGCATGTATCTGCCACACGGCTCGCTGCCAGCAGAGCCTGTGGTTTGCTCGACCCCTCCTCTGCTTCTGCGCAAGTACCGGTACTAGGCATGGAGGCTTGGAGAAGTTGAAGTCATGCCGCGTCCCCTGGAGATGATGACGGCGATTGACACCTGGATGGCGACGACTGCCGGAGGCAGGGAGACGTGGTGAATTGCTGCGAGATGCACAATATCAACGTATTGCACCACAGTGGTGATGATATAGCCGTGGTATTTTGGATGAGTAGAAGCTCTCCAGACGATCCAGCTCGCTGGCGCAAGGGGTGATCTCGAGGTATTCGTACCAAAAACCCAAGGTAAACCAACCGCTGCCGCTAACGCGCCGAAGACTGATCGAGCTCCATGGCTCCCAAAATGTAATAAGGCGGAGATCATGCTTTGTTAAGCACAACAACGTCGATTCAAGTTCCCAAATCCCAAGAAGTCACTCAGCCTTGCCTGCTCTGAGTCAGTCACTACCTTACCAAATGTTCTGACCTCTTCCGTCTTCGTTTCTGTCTTTCTCCTTCGGTCTCTACCGAGGCAAAAAGGCCGCCAAGGTCAGATGATGGCTGAACTGGGCAAGGCTATCCGGTCAGATGTTTTTTCGCTCATTGGTCGGTGGCCAATGCCTGACTACCAGGAACTTGGAAGATCAACAAGTGCCGGTACTTGCATTTTGACAGGACCCTCTGGCGGGTGTTATTGTGGCTGAATCCAACCCAGCTTAGAACTTCCAGTTCGTACCTGGTAGAATACCTTACACATGACAAGAGTCTGGAGGTGATGTCTGCACATTTGCTGCTCCCGATTTGAAGTGCCTTAGCACGCGTGTGCATGTATGTATCTCGGGTGTGCACGTCTGGTCGGCGATGGGGGGCCCTGATAAAAGCTCGTTCTTCACCGCGCAACATTCCGCGTTCAGCGTCAGGTACACGCCCGCAAGTCGTCTGCAGACGCGGAATCCTGGTACTAGATGCGACCTCAATCCTTCTCCTAATCATTACGGTATCATCAACCTCTCCCGGGAGACATGGAATCATACCGGAAACAGTCCAAGTCAAGCATCAAGGCGCTTCTAGAATCCCACCTACTCCGCAGTAAGATCAGAAGGAAACGATTCCCCAATGCGCCCAGATGAAGCCATTTTTCCGCAGCCAAAATGAGCAGCATCCCGGACCCCACGCCGCACTGGCTCTGCATGACCTGTTTCTCCCATCCAACTGTTTCAGCTTTTCCAGTCTTCCCCAATCTCAGAAACAAGTTCCAACGTTTCTACCCGTGCTCCGTGTGTGGGTGGTAGCGGTACCTTGCAACTTCTAGTCTACCGTTTGTATTACTTGAGGTGCTAAAAACGCAGCAGGATAGCTGGCGGGCTTGCGACGCCTTGCCGCTTCTGGCTTTGGAGCGGAAAGCTCATGGCCACGGGCTTGAGAAGCTGGGAAGCACGCACACATCCATCATGAAGAGGTAACAGGCTCAACTGTCAAGGACGAAACAAGGACAAGCTCATCTCCTTTAGCAACCAGCTGGGAATAGTGGCCACGCCAGCCCGCCCGCGGCTTGGGCCCAAGGACGCCTGGCGCTGCTGCGCTGCGATCGATGTTCGTTTAGATGAGGGATCAGAAGCCGGCTTCTGGACTACCTGTTGACGTGAGCGCCATCTTTCGCCCCCCTCCCCCCTTGCCCAGATGCCACCATCTCGCACTCCCAGCGCAGTGGTACAGGTAGGGAAGGGGGATAATATGGGAAGGGGGGCAAAGGGTAAGAAGGCGCAGAAGAGGAACAGCAGGGTCAAGGGCCGAGGGACGAGGAAAGGAGAGAGAGAGAGACGGTTGGATCCCCGGCTGCCTTCATCGAGCTGCGATCAATTGATTAGCGGTCGAGCCCTGGCCCGTTTCCCGTTGCCTGGCCTGGCTTGAGCCTTGAACCTGGGAGGCTCCACTCTGGCTCTCGATGGTGGCGGATCTCGACATTTCACGGCGGACCCTTTACTTTCGTAGGGGAGACTCCATAATATTACCTTGGCCTTTCATCTCCTCTGGCTGTCCTCCAGCAGCTGTTCCGGAACGCAGACGCGGCGGGCATTTCGAACTCTGAGCCGGTACCAATTGGTCCAGGCGATGGGAGGATGCTCGCGGCGCAGGGTCAGAGGCCCCAGCACTCAGCCTCAGCCTCAGCCCGTCCGGTCTCATTGCAGCTTGTACGTGTGGCCAAGCGGTGCTAGTGCTGGTGCTGGTCAGCTTGAGCGAGCTCCTTTGCATGGTGTCGAGTCGTGCCGTCTGTGCGTCGCTAGCTCCCGTACAAAGCCAGCCAGAGGGGATCGACAGACAGCTTTCGACGGCTCAAGGCCCAAGGCCCAAGGTAGGTATGTACTGTGCGCGTTGCGCTGCTCCAGGACACCTGCTAACAAAGCACGATGATGTGACGGCCCTGGTGGGCGTGTTTCGTTTGACAAGGTGAAGGCGGAGGCTGCTATCCCAGTCACCGTCATCTTGGTCTTCATCGCGATGGGCATTGTTAATGCTCCGTACTGCATCATGTAACCTACCTTGTGCATCAGGTCAGCGCCGCATCCGACAGCACCTTATGTTCGCCATATTTCGGTGCTGGTGGTGGTACAGAGTAGCTTCGAAATTAAGCGACAAGACGAGACCTCCTCCCCAGGATCAAAGCAGAGCGGCTCCGAGACATCTGCAGCAAGTCTCAGTCGCGGCGCAGGTACACGAATCGTCACGTCTTGAAAAGTGCCACGCAAGCACCAAGATTTCTTCCAATCTTCAGCGCAAGCCCGTCTCTGGCATTTGCGTGGCCGGCTCTGTGGCTATCAATTCGGCGCCAGATTATCGTGGCGTTGCGGAGGGACGGCCTATCTGACGCCAGACGGCAAGTCATTGTCCGGGGGGCCGCTGAAGATGATGCCCTGAGGAAGAGACGAACGGCTGGATACGAGGATAACTGCCACCAAACCCAAGGATCGATCTCGTACAGGCACGCATCGCGCATCTATTTGGCATTGTCGTTGATTTCAGATCCATCGTGCCGCACAATCCCTCTAGTAGTACGAGTACATACGAGATGCACTAGCAGGTGCCTGCTCCATGCTGAGGTAGCATTCGCATTTGCCCTTCCCCAGAACCATCTGATCCGCTCTCCAGCCTGGTGGACCAGGGCCCTTCGGAAGTTGTCGCGACAGCAGCAGCTACCTGGGAGAACCTGGTCAAACGTCTTGATTCAACGGCGTCTTCCTCGTATGTTACCTGCACGGCATTCACCGCCCCAGCCCAACTTGCAACTCTCACTCGTCGATCCAGGATTCCATATGCCGTCTCGAAAGGGGAGAGAGACGGAGGGGGGAGGGGAGGCTCGTGCCGCAACACAGAGGGGAGCAGGCCTGTCCCATGGGCAGGCAATCCGCCCATCATCCAAGCCCAATGCAGGCTGCGGCCTAAGAAACAACCACGCCTCTGCCGCTCCTGTTGATCGCTTAAAAATAGTGAAAAAACGAAGAAGAAACGGACGGGCTGAGCTGGGGGGACGGACTCCATTCAGCGACATCGCCTCAAGGAAGCAGAGCGGCGCAATCCCCCTTTTGTGTTACGAAGAGGTGGGATGAAGTTCCGCCGAATTACCCTTTTTTCCCCCGTTCTGTGTGGCAACAGCAGCAGCAGCAGCAGCAGCAGCAAGTTTTACTTGTACCTGACGATACCTGGCGTCTGTTACCTTGAGGCGTGATCTGTGTGCGGTTGTCTGCACTGTGACGTGTAGAAGCAATGTACCTTACAAGATGTGCCTGACCTCCACTGATTCCTTAAGAAAAGGTAATGTACTGGCGCTGATTAAGTACCTCCCAGGGCTCTCTTGTTGCCTGTATTTTCATACCGAGAAGTTCAATCGGGCACTTGGTGCTTCTCTAGAGCATCTTACCAAAGCGGATGATGCGAGGCAAGGTTCCCTTTTCCTTAGGAAGCATGGCTTTTATATGTCCGGCGCCACATGAATCATATCCCCGGGCAGGAACAATAGCATCACAACTCTACAAAGCTTTTTTCAAGTTTCCTACCCTCCAAGGGGCTCTTCTCCTCCTCTTCCGCTCTCATCCCCCCGAGTCATCTTCTCCAATTTCTTGACTCCCCTCTTATTGTGTTTTTTCTGTCGTCGTCTATTTTCCTTTTTGGCTTCCCTCCATATTCTTCCCGCCCCGGTCGGTGTCAAAGCTGTCAGCTTTCGTCGCCTCTCCCTCCTCCGCACCCCCGTTTGATTGGACGCCTCCTCGGCAAGCGGGTGCGTCAAGTCGGCTAGGCTAGGAAGATTGAAGAGAGACGAGAGAGAGAACAGCCCGATTTTCCCAATTTTGGCGGACGGGCGAGTCGTTGCCAGTGCCGAGGAAACAGGGTCTCTCTCTCTCTCTCTCTCTCCTCCGTCCGTTTTCTCTCTGCCCTCTTTAACAATGTGAGACGGACGCTTTGGTGCTGTCAGAACCGGATAGTGGGGGGGGGGGGGGAAGGAAGAAGAATGGAGGAGAGCTGGGCTTGTATACCATGGTTCTCCCATTTCACCCACTGCTCTGATATGAATAAATGTCTTAAGGAGAAAAGTGACCCGGAGCCTTGCACGGGCGTGAATAACATCCCAATCCAGGCAGCCAGATAAAAACAAGAATGGCAACACCCAAGGCTGAATCGCTTGTGCTGGCCGGGCTGAGCTTCCCACCCTTTTGGCCTCACTTTTTTTCTTCTTCTTTTTCCCTAATTTTGCTTTGTCTCGTTGTCTGCGTCTCTGCGCCAAGTACAGGTTTGTTCTCCGTCGCGAAAAGAGCGGAACTTGAAAGGGGTTGGAACCGTTTACAAAGAGTAGGATACATAGAACGTACCTAATCTAATCCGAAATTCCCCTGCCAGATAAGAAACGTTGCCCTCGTCTTACTTCCGAGGCAAACTTCCTAAAGCTTTTCCAAGTTTTGCTTTCATTATCGATCATGACACCCCCTCCTTATCTCCCCTGACCGGATGACTTCCAACTGATAAGTCTAAATGCCCGCCTCAAGCCTCCTCGAGTTCCCGAAAAGGTTGTGCTTAAAGTCTCCGTGGACTGAGTACCTATGCCCAATGCGTTGGCTAGAAGCGGAAGTGCTATGGAATGTCAAAGCACGATAACGCTCATGTAGATGATCATCGATCATTGACCTGATGTCTTGATGGTAGTCATGTCCAGCTTAATATACGGTAGTTACTCCATACCCGATCTACTACATGTCACTATGTGCAATCGCGCATCTGACATGGTGACCAACAGTAACAACACATCCTTGCTCTCTTAATGTATCCCAGTACGAAGCACCCTTTCCATCGTCGTGGCAGAAGCTTTCCATGGATGGGGCAAAGGAGGAGGCTGCGGCGGCTGCATTGCAGGCTCAGTATCGCTCGATGTCTGAGCATGGCCGCCTTCTCCCAATACTGCAATAGCCACCTCAATCTCAACTAGTGCCTCATCTTCTCCTTCCAAGACTGCAGTCGTCACCTCAACATCAACTGGTCCTTCTTGAGCTTCTTGATCCTCTCGATTCCCGCTCCCATCGTCGTCTGGACATCTCTCCCTTTCCAACTTCATGTCCATAATCATGCTCACCTCTGGACAGTATTCGAATATCTCCCTGCGGCGAGCTGCATCGCTCCACATGCTCTCGTTCAAATCGCCTCCGCCCTCTCGAATGTGAAAGCCAACTGGCCTCTCCATGTACACGTCCTCAACAGAGATGGCGCCTTCCAGCTTGGATGCAATTTTAGCACCCGGCAATACCCACAGGCGTTTCCCGAACCACTCATCCTCGGGCTCCGAGTCGTTGAAGCGCTCTTGAAAACTGAGAACCCGTTTGATGACTGACACTCGGCGTAGGGAGAGGCCTCCGTTTCCCGCGAAGCCGTCGTCGTCCGTTCTTTAGCGTGCATGGATGTTTCAGACGAGAGACGAGCCAAATCCAATCTCAACTTGGGTTTGTACATACCGCGCAGCACCAGTCCAGTCCCAGCCAAGCCAATCGTTCAAGCTTGTTTCCGAGTTTGCGCACAGCATACTGTCATACTCGTATTTCAAGATCCATTCTACGTCTGGCAAGAACTCGTCATAGAACCTTGAATCCGTAAGCAGCCTGAAAACGTCCTCTTTGCTGGCAACGCTCCATGGAGGAGGAAGCTCCACCAGGTCCAGCTTCCCAATGACCTGCTGGTGCTGAATCGAATAGGCACGGCTGACGCTCATGATGCTCTCGCTCGATCCGACGAAGAGAAAGCGCCAGTCCGGGGGCACCACCGCCATCATGTGCATCATCAGAGGAGACAGGTGAGGGAGAGGCCTGGCCTCTATCAGAAGCGCGAGCTTGGACGAATTGAAAGCGGCGCGAGGGTCTCTGGTTGGTGGGACTGGCCAATCCAACTTGACGCTGGGGATCATTCTGCGGGCTTCTTCAAGTCGAGTCGTGACTCTGGAGGCGACGACAGGCTCATATTGCGAGTGCAGGCGGCCGAGATACCACCTAAATGATGATCGGTCAGCACCGTTCACCTGGCTGTTGGTTCCAAAACTGCCCGTAAGAGAAGCCTGCCGCTACGTACATGAGGACCAAGAGTATTGCAACCAATATGCGAGCTGGGGCGATGGTGAGAACCCCTGAGGTGTTGAATCCAGCCATTGCGACGCGACGACGACGCTTCTCCGATGTGCATGTAGGGAAATTCTGATTCCAAGAGAAGTTGAAGTGGTCAAATATTGTGAGGATTTTTGGTGTTGAGATGCCAACGTCACTTGAGCGGTCAAGCTTTCGCTGAGCTATCGCTCCAGGAAGGATCGTTTGAGAAGTACGTACTTGCTTGTTTCTCCGTCATGCCTTTTCCCAATCAGCTTCACGAGAGGTGGACAACCTCTTGATAGTTGAAGTAGTCAGAAGTTCAAAGAAAGAAAGTGATGGACATCTCTTCGTCGAACTCGCCCTGTTGTTGATACGCCCTATCTAGCATTCCAGAGTCCCTCCCCCCTGAACAGCATCACAGATCGGTCTGACGGTATGCCAACAAACGACTACCGCCAATACATCAAAACCAGACTACTCTCCTGTCTCCGGGGTAGAAGAAGACGCTGCACGATACTATGCATCGTCATCCTGTCAGTTCTTACACACTCCAAACCTCCCTTAACAACTCCAAATCGCTAAACAAAGCCCAACAAGTCTCTTCCTCCCAACACTCATACACCTCACCACCAAAACCACCACCATCGCCCTCTACATCCCCCGCATCAGGCTCGAATACCCACAGCCTCCTCAGCCTCCTCCCCCCTGGCTGCTGCCCTACAACACCTCCAAAGTCGCCCTCCTCATCGAGAACTGGCCCAGCGCCGTCCTCGCCCCGCTCATGCTGCACTTCATCTCCGTCGTGCCCCCCGACTGGCGCTTCCGCTTCATGGGCTCCCCGCAATCCGTCGCCTCCATCAACCGCTCCGTCGCCATCCGCCACCACGTCGCGGGCGGCAAGCTCGATCTCACGTACATCCCCGAGAACCTGAGCACCAACGGCCAGGAGGAGATTAGCCAGTTCCTGACCACGCTGTGGCTGTACGAGGTCGTGCTTCGGCCGGCGGAGTGGCTGCTGGTGTTTCAGACGGATTCCATGCTGTGCGCGAACAGCAGGCTGAATCTCAACGACTTTCTGGAATACGACTGGGTGGGCGCGCCGTGGAATCCTGTCGGTCGGTGGGGTGGCAACGGAGGACTGTCGCTGCGGCGCGTGAGCCGCATCATTGACGTTTTGCGCAACCAGCGGCGTGCCAATGGCTCTCAGCCGGAAGACGTCTGGCTTTCTGAGCGGCTTGCTCATCATCCCGGCGGAAAGGTGGCCAACGGATCTGTCTCGATGACGTTTGCAGGGGAGATGCATGACGGACGGACGATGCTGAACTCGAGTAGCCCTGGAGTGGATCAACCTGACAGCGAAGACTATATTCCAGGAGTTGATGACTGGAGAAAAGGCTTCTACGAGCCAATGGGCTACCATATTGGTGGGAGCGGTTCCTTCCTACATAGCCCGGTCTGGGGCATGCCGGAACTGCGGGAACACATGTATAAGTACTGTCCCGAGATCAAGATGACACTGGCCATGGACGTGGCCAAATACGTGCCCGGCAACTGCGGCGCACGATGGACATAGGATTGAGACATGTCTGGGAATAAGGTAGTACATGTATTAACCTCACTATATACTTGCTTCGTTGAATTGAAATATTATATGGGGCGCAGAGCCTCGTGTGCCTACTCTCAACTTCAGAGTTGTTCCAAATGATAACCTAGCAATCAGTTAACCATACACATACACACAACCAGATACCAGCCTACCAGGAAGGGAAAACCACGCAAGGGGAGGTATTGATAACGAGAGAAAAGCTTTAACTCTTAAGCCAGCCCCTCCGCCACGGCATGGCCAACCGCCCCAGCCAGTTCACCAAAGAGAATGCCCTTAAACACACTCTCGCCCATATTCTGCGTCCAGGCACCGGCCTTCTGCAGCCTCTGCTTCCACGCATTCTTTTGCGCCGTGGGCAATTCCTCCCACGTCTTGGCCGGGCCGTGGACTTCCTCGTCGTGGACGTCCAAGCTAATCTTCTTGTGACCAGGGCGGCTGCCCTCGACGTCCACGGCAGGATGGTCGGCTTCCCACATGACGAGCGTCTCGGCCGTGTTGACGCCGCTGCCGGCGAGCCTTGAGACGAGGTAGTCCTTGGAAAATGCAGCCGGGGGGTGAGTCGGGTCGCGCAATGTGCCGTGCCAGGACGGGACGAACTTTTGCGCGCCAAGGTAAGGTTTGCTGACACCATATATCTCCATGACGCCCTGTCCGATGATGGCCATGATGAGCACCATTATGGAGAGTGTGATGACGAGGGGCCGCCTGGAGGGGGCCTTTGCGCGCATGGCAGTGACATATCGGACCGGCGCCTCACCAGGCGTCTTCGAAGAAGAGGCGTCGATATGCCTCTTCAAAGCGATGCTGTGGACGGTAACGCCTTTCTGAAGGGATATGCTGGCTAGCTTGATGAACTGCTGGGTGAGGTGTTGTTTCGGAGGAACAAAGTTGGAAAACGCCAGGCCGGTGATGTTATCGCCCTTGTGAACGTCTTTCAATGTGCAGAGCGGGTAAAGGTTAGAGAGAAGCTCGATCGAGGCCATAGCTTTGTGATCCATGGTGTACAAGTAAATGGAGGCGTCGTTACCGGCCACCGCAATGATAAACTGCGTAGTGCCAACAGACGTCGAGGGAGACGAAGGCGGCGACACGTTTGCAACGGCGAGGGCCGTTGCGGAGATCTTCTTTGGAATACGCGCAACCGCGGATATCCGTGCCTTGTCATGGCCCGGGCTCGGCAGCCGGAATCCCTGGAGGATAACACCGCTCGACTTTGGCAGGTTGGCCGCGGCCAGGATGAAATTGGGCGTGATGAATCGAAGCGCGCGGAATGCAGGCAGCTCACCATGGTCGTCCGTCATGGTAAAGATGAGTTCCGGCTCGGAATTCTTCTTGCCAATCCTGACCAGGTATAGTTCGTACTTGTGGCAGTAGACGAGCAGGTGCTCTCCGGTCTTTTCGTCATAGATAAGGTCGAGGTCTTCGGCATCCTTGGCTAGGTCCAGCACACCCTTGGCCTTGGGCTTAGGCCCCGTGACATCGAATATGGCCAGCTGAGGCTCCTTTCCCATGCCTGTAGCGGCAGCGCCGACGGATCCAGAGATGCGCAACACGCGCTGATACGTTTCGGCATCCCGGTCGGTGAAGAAGGAGCTTCGAGCCACCTCTGCGACCTGTACATCGGGGTTCTTAGCACCGGCAGCTCGCGACTTGGTCTGCTCAACGGAAAACGTTCGAAGGTGGAAGTTCTTTCCCTTGGCGATTTCCTTGGGGCCCGAGTTGATGCCGGCGAAGACGTACGAGGGCTTATCATCGTCAGGGGCGCCAACGACGGCGAGCGACATGACGCTGTCTTCGTCGCGGGAGAGATCGATGTCGCCGGCTACTCGGAGCTCACCTTGGTCGACGATTTCGACAACGGACTGGCCACAGGAGAAGGAGAGTCAGCATTGCGATATACCTTGAGCTCAGAACATTGGTAGACGACGCACAATCTTGTTGCCCACGCCAGAACGGCCAACGCCGCCGCCGCCACCGACGACGAGACGATTCGCATTCTGGGGATCAAAGCTGACTGCGTAGAGAGGATAGTCGAGCTTGATGCTCGCCTGCGGGAATGGCAGCGCCATGCTCGATGATGTCAGGGCTGGATATCGCGGGGATGATGGTGGCTTCGAGCTCAGATTATGCCCGTACAGGCGAGAGAGACGTTCGGTGAGGATCAAGGCGACTGGAGGATCAGACAACAGACAGCTGTGCGCGTGCGCAATCGCGTTCAGGGAGCCATTGGGGTGATGGTTTGACGGGTGCAAAGAAGCTGTGGTTTGTGGCCAGATGTTCAGATCGGGAGCTCTGGTGGCGTTTTGGCGGGGGATCGCGGCTGTGGGGAGCTGAGCTGGGCTGGGCTGAGCGCATGTACCCTTGTACCTTGTACCTCCCATGAGGCGAGATCGACGACATGCGGCATCACCAACTGCTACTATACATGGTCAAACTAATGCATTGGTCCTGTTGCTCTATTAGCACTTGTCACCACTTAAAGCACCTTCATACTCCCTCATCAATCAACCGTCAAGTTTACATGCACTGCCTTCACAGTATAATACCCCCTCAGCCCATCCTCGCCAAGCTCTCTCCCCAACCCGCTCTCCTTCACCCCTCCAAACGGAACTCTCACATCCGAGTCATTGCTGCTGTTCACCCATACCATGCCGGCCTCAAGGTCTCTTGCCACTCGATGTGCTCTTCCAAGATCCCTTGTGAACACCGCGCCCGCGAGCCCGTATCTCGTCGCGTTGGCAATCTCGACGGCTTCTTCCTCGGTGCTGAATCGTGCAATAGCTGCTACTGGTCCGAATACCTCCTCTTGGAACGCCGCTGTGTTGATGCCAACGTTCGTCAGAATGGTCGGCGGAGCAAAGTATCCCGTGGATGGCACAGATTGTCCGCGCGGGTGAAAGACACCGGCGCCAGCAGCTCGTGCCGATGAGACATAGGACATGATGCGCTCTGCCTGCGCTCTGCCGACTTGCGGCCCCTGGTACGTCCGAGGATCGAACGGGTCACCCATGATCGATGTTTCTTCAGTAAAAGCCTCGAGTCTCTCCACGAAACGGTCGTAGATGCCGTCTTGCACCAACAGCCGCGACGTTGCCGTACATACTTGCCCCTGATTCGCCATGACCCCCTCATGTGCCCATCTCACTGCCTGCTCCAGATTCGCGTCATCAAAGACAATAAGCGGCGACTTTCCCCCAGTCTCGAGCGTGACGGCCTTTAGCGTCGCAGCTGCCGTGCGCATCACCTCCTTGCCCGTTGCCGTACTTCCAGTGAAGGCGATCTTGTCGACCCCTGGATGCCGCGCAAGAGCTGCGCCAGCCTCTTCACCACGTCCATTGATAATGTTGATGACTCCAGGCGGGAACCCAGCCTCGCGAACAAGCTGTGCCACGTACAGCATCGACAGGGGCGTCTGCTCTGCCAGTTTCAGCACGACTGTGTTCCCGCACGACAAAGCCGGACCAAGTTTCCACGCCGCCATATCGAGAGGATAGTTCCATGGGATGATCTGGCCACAGACACCGACGGGCTGCTTCACCGTGTAGGCCATCTTCTTTGGGCCCATGTCAATGGCCGACCCGTGGTTTTTATCCGCCCATCCAGCGTAGTACCGAAGCACTTCTGAGAAATGCGGCACGTCGTAGCTGCGGGATACTGACAGCGGCTTGCCATTGTCGAGTGTCTCGATGACGGCAAGTGTTTCACTGTGTTCATCGACCAAGTCTGCCAGTCGATTCATGAGGTGACCGCGTTCGATGCCGGACAGCAGCGACCATGAGGACTGCTTGAGGGCTTTGCGAGCGGCTCGAACCGCATTGTCTACATCTGGCTCTCCGGCTGCGAATACGGAACATAAGTCTCGCTCGGTGCTGCGCGAGACAGAAGCGAGTAAGCAAAAAAAGAATGAGAAGCCTTTGGAATGAACAGTAGATGCAGCCACGAGCAGCTCAAGTATACATACAATGGATCACTCGTCGTAATCACATCTCCCCCAACACTCTCTTTGAACTGGTTGTCGATGAACAGTCCCAGGGGCTGAGTCCACCTTGTCCCGTTTGGAGCCGTCAGCTCAGCCTCTAGGCGAGGCGATGCCAGCATCCGAGTATGACTGAGTTGACGAGACGATATGCGCCGGAGTACGCCGCTCCGTACTGATTTTGCCAGCCTTGCAGCTGTCATTGTCATAAACGTGCCCGACATCCCCATGAGTCGTCAACGATGGGGCCAGTACAGACGAGGTGCGCTGCAGACAGCACGATCGGGTGTATAAGGCAACCCCAAAAGGGATCAATTGATAGAGCAGAAAATAGTATACTCTTCAGAGAATGATTGATTCCATAGACCAATCAGGTGTGATTGCAGGGCAGCACCTCGATTCCCCCTTGACGGTTCAATCTGCAGGCGTATTTCGCTGTATCGCTTATTCTGTCTGCTGGAGATGACATCTCATAAAGTACAAGTCGGTACTACTACTGGAACTAAGAGAACAGGCATCGCCCCACAGCTCGGAGATCGGATCTGTCCTCTCCGATACAATATATTAAGGTACGTGCCATGCTTGAACTCGGCACCCTGGTACATAGCAAACAAACAAAGTAAAGTGTACAGGCGTCTGGTCCGACCCTGGAAATCAACTGCATCACTTGTCGTCATTCTGGGGCCCGTTTCAAAATGACCACTATTACTATATGTTTAGTTCACCCATGCTCGTAGTCAGGGGCATGGGGATCCCTATGTGTCATATATATGTCTAGCAGGCTCCCAAGCATATCCTTCGCTCTTCATCTTTCCTTCTTGGTGCTGAACCCCGAGAAAGCTCATCGGCCTTCCAGGTGCTTCGAATAATGAAGCTTCATCCAATCTGATTACACACGTATTAATTCCCAGAGCCAGAACAAATCCCAATATCATCGCTGCATAAAGCAAGGGGGGTGGGCTGTAACGAGCGATCAATCATCCTCAGAGGCCTTCCACCACTCTTTCTCCTCCGTCTCTTCTTACCCACATCCTTCTCCCACCTCTTCCATGTATGGCGTCGATCGACTGTGTGTCTCCCGCCGTTCGTAGGTGAACACCCTTTTTGGGCAATGATCTCATATAAGCGAACAGATTGATAAAACGAGTGAAGGGTTGTATTGCAGAGCTGTTGCGTCGAATTCGATGTATTTTGGTCTTCGGTTTATTGGTGATTAGGTGATTGAGCCATGTCCGTAAGAAGGTGAGCATGGCAAGGCGAGCTATTGCCTCGGGCCCATATGATGCTTGGGGGAGCACAGGTCGCGACCAGTCGCTTGAGCAACCGGACAGCAATGATGTATAAAAAGGAAGGTGGCCGAATGAATATTGAAATAAAGGAAAGTAAGTAGAGCAAAGACATATTACTATAGGTAAGGTCAGAAGTGTCGGTTGCCCGACGGAGATTGTATTCGCGCTGTTTCAAACCGTAAACCAAAATAATTAAGGGCCGTGTCCAAAATCAAAGTAGAAATTGATGTAATGGAAGCGATGACAGATTATGATTATGGTGATGTTGGGCCGAGAGGTGCCGCATCGTTGTGTTGTCGATGCCGGTACGGGCCTGGAGCATCGAACATGGGTTGAAGTAAGAACTGGAGTGACTACCAGTGAGATCCCTCCTGGTGCTTTCGTGGTGCCGTTGCCCAGCCAGTCTCGTAGTGGGACGGCTGAGCGGCCCTCCACTGCCCAGTCCTGAGATCCTGCTCGTGAGCTTGCCCAGGACCCAGCCCAGACATGGGAGGAGGGGGTCCATCCATCACTCGCAGAGGGGGTAATCTCTCTCCACTTGCGGACGAAGTGGCCGAGCCGGGCCTCGGCGGCGGCACTCCATAAGCTTGGCCGTGCATCGGCGGGAGGCCGTGCGGCGGACCTGGGGGCAAAGCACCATACACCGGAGGTGAGTAGTCCCGACGATCGTCTGTGCGCCGAGCAGGTACGGGCCGCTCCGCCGATGAAACCTCGCTAACATATCCTTGAGTAGGAGTCGGGATGTGGTGGGATTGCATCAAGGGGCTCCTGTCCGAAAAGCTTATGCTCTTCGATAACACGGGACTTGGCGGGCCGGCGGCGTGGTTGCTGATGGCTGGCGTCCGGGCTACGATGTCTCTGAGCCGATTGCGATCGTCCCTATAGAAATCCCGGTGGGCCGCGAGTTCTTCTAGTTGTTGTAGCATCTGTTGTCGCTCTTCCTTCAGCTCCTGTAGCTGTTTCATGTTTTCCTCTTGCAGTGTCTTCTTCTTTCTCCGGTGGCGAGTGGATGCCTTTGCGTTTCTCTGCCGCTTTTCGTCTGCCTTCTTTGATGCCTGGGAGTAGTCTACTTGAACAGGGATTGGGGTGTCGCTGCCTGGGAGAGTCATGTAGGCCTGTTGAGATTCCATTCCGACAAACGACCCGCCCTGTCGACGTAGTATCTCCGGCCACGCGGGTGCTCCCTCGCTCGGTCCTCCCATCCTTGATAACGGTCGGCTAGTGGGCAAACCAGTGATTCCGTGCTGGAACTGTGATGGCGTATGCAATCCATGCGGCCTGCTTTGAAGTTCTCCCGGTGGAGGGATCGTCGGCGGCTGTGCGTGAGGGGCATCCAGGGAGCGATTTACAGGCTGAGAAAGAGACCTTGGTGGAGTTACCATGGGAGTATGCGGACCAGAGGCAATTCCGGACGGTTGGTGAAGACCAGGTGCGTGTCTAGGCTCATCGGGAGTATCTGGTTCGTAAGGTCGTTTGGTAGGAGCCATGCTGGGAGCCAAAGGTTGTCGCGTATCCATATCTCGAGGGGGAAGGGCTTGTCCAAGACTCAGTGCTCGAGGGGCTCTGGGGCTGAGAATCTTCCTGGGGTTGCTCATGACGGGGAAAGGATATGCGGTTGAAGGAGAACTTCGTTCGGATATCGGCGGTCTGCCTGTAGGCGTCACGCCTGCAGCAATGGGGGTCGAGGGCAGAGATCCCGAAGCAGAATGACCGTGAAGGTAGGGACGAGGAATGCCATAAGGAGTCGAAGATGCCGGATGGAGAGATTCGGTTTCCCTTGCTCGCGAAGAAGGACTGCCGCTACCGTCAGGGCCCATGGGGTGTGACTCGGCCGGGTTAAGAATGTTGTGTACTCCGAATGACTTCGCTGAAGGTTGAGCAGCGCGGCCAACCTCGGGAGAAGCGCCGGCAGGGTCATACCGCTGCGAAGTGAATTGGGAGTAACCGACGTGTTCGCTGCTGATGGGAGACCTCGAGGAGAGACGAGAGGGTGGGCGAGGACCAGGTCCCCTTTGCGACATCGAGACCTGATCGCCTACACACTCCTGATCTCGAGGATCAGTGCATTGACCCCTCTTCTCGCCAACCAGGAAGCGCAATTTATTAAGCTTGGGAGACGTGATTCGGGAGAGAGTCTTGGACAACCACGAAGGAGTAGTCGGCGTCCTGGGCGACTTGGGCGTGCTGGCCCCAGATGAGTCGTAGGCACGAAGTTCGGGGCTGTCTTTGACTGGAGCAGGCAGCGCCCGTTGCCGCACGTCTACAGAGGAGTTCGCCAGGTTGACCGTGTTGTAGTTGGGGACCGGCTGGGAATATACCCAAACAGCCCCAGAAACAGACGGTAGTTGGTAATCGGACGGAGGCCCGGTTGCTAAAGGAAGGGACAAGAAGGCGATCGCGCCGACAGTCCACGATGCAATCCGTTTTTGCCTTGATAAGCCCCTAGCCGAACGACTCGAGATGTGTTTTCCAGGGAAGCGGATCGATGGGTTGCAGATTGCGGAGTTGAGTATTAGTAGTTGTGAGTTCGGGCAGGGATATGGACCATATCAGTCAAGAGGAGTTATTGCTGGATCAGGGGGGTCGCTCAGGCTCCTAAATGTTCAGTCGAAGCTTTTGGTGGCCAAGTCAGTCAAACTGCAGTAGTATAACTTCTACTCTTTAGGGCAATGAGGGCCGTAGAAGCTCCCTAGAGGAAGGCTATGGCAGTTATAAGGGTATCGAGCGAAGTGATAGTCCCGCAATAGGTTCCTCCACCGCACAGCTGTCACCTGCAGGGGAGGGGGGGCAGAGGGGCGATGTGACTGCAAAGTCTGCCCTCTATCGTGTATGAGGACGATGCCAACGGCGAGAGACGCAGCTTCCAAAGAGTCCGCAATGCGCCCCCAAGATATTCCATCTATCACAGGAACGCCGGAGTGAAGCGTACCGCAGGAGTGAAGCTGCGGGCAGACTCTCCCTGAGCAGATTTGCGAATCAGGAGCGGAGTGGGAGTGGTGAGGGGCGAGATGCGAGGAGGAGGGAGAGATGAGAAACCAAGAAACGAGGTCACGAAGTCGAGGGAAAGATTCGAGATGAGGCAGAGATACCAAACTGGGGCGTGGAGTAATGGAGGAGACGAAGCCAGGGAAGGAGCTGCTTACCTGAACAGAGTGAGGTCTCGGTGAGGCAGGTACCGGTGCAGAGCAGTTGCCGTACTCTGTACTTGGTCTCGTGCTTGGGGAACACGTCGAGTCACGCCGAGCCGGAAGGAAAGAGCAGTCGGTGCCTCGCGGGAAAATGCACTTCACAACTCCTACACCTCTCGTCGACAGAGACCGAACAGGCAGACCCCAGAGCTTTCTATCTCGGATTCAACCCCGGACGACGTCGCAACAGCCCGAGCAGATGGACAAGTCAGCAGTATCAGGAGTCACTCGGGGCACTGGCAATGGTGGGCAGCAAGAAGAGGCGGGAGCTGTGTGACGAGAAAAGGGCGATGGGAGAGGTTCTCATCAGAGAGCTTATGGCCGAGAGCAGGATGGCAAGCCACAGTGGGAAGCATTGACTGTCGACAAGTTCGGCTGCCCACAGCTTCGTCTTGAAATATGCCACGCCGGCGGCCCCTGGTCGTCTGGAGGAAGGAAAGTACTGCTACGAAAGCATTCGCATGGTCACGCCAGCCCAATGGCCTGTCCCACAGCCAGGGTTTCTGTGAGCGAGCATGGGGGTGGAGGCGCCACATACATCCACAGACATGGAGTTTTTCGTGGACGGAGCCATCAATGATTTGACCCATGCCGGAGCCAGACCAGGGAGAGCGAAACGTCAGTCGAGCTACAAGCAGCCGCAGCACGACCCATCGCCGTCAACCGCGGTGTCTCTCCACTGCGAAGAACCCGCTAGTACCTAGCATTACAGCTCTTGTCTCTCTTCTGGCCCGTTGGAGTCGGCAGCGGCGGGCAGGGATGTGTGAGTTGCGTCCTAGCCTAGGTGACGGTGTGCACTATCACCTCTACGCCCCCCCCCCCCCCTTTTTTTTTTCCCTACCCTTCTTGCCCGGCTAACAACCCTTTTCTTCTGGCAGGGCTCAGAGGCTCCAGAAGGTCGGTTTGGTCGCTGGCACCAGCTGGCGGGCCAGCCAGCCAGCTAGCACGGACCGCAGAGTCTCTCTGACCTGGGATTCAATGGGTCATGGGCTTCCTATGGTGATCAAATGGCTCGCCGTCATCGACCAATGTGACAGGTCCTGGGGTTGCTCCTGTCCGTGTCGGTTCTCGTCTGCGTCAACAGCAAGCATGCCTACATGTACGAGCAAGAATGCACTGCAGCAATTCTTCTGCGCGCCGCGAATGGTGAACGAGTCCTGCTGTAGTTGCAGATGGAAGCCTACTGGACCGGGGGAGGCACATTGTACAGCTGGCATCCGGGGAATAAAAAAGGTGGATGGGCTAGGAGGATGGCGCGCGCCACGGTTCATGTGCAAAATCAACAAGCCGCCAAGCTGTGTGTCTCGACTGCCCGTGTTCCGCCTCTGCGCCAACCGTCCATTCATTTCCTCAGCAATATCACCGGGTAGCCTTCCGGCGGCGACTAGCCCTTTCACCCAACGATCATAGGTTGAGATGGGCCACACGTCAAAGGAGTTACCACCACATCAACTGCTACCAAGGTACTTTGTACATGCAGCAACAGATGAGACAGTTTCTGAACAGCGCTCATCTGGGTCGAGCGTAAGCCTCGTTCCCTGCCGCTTCTTCTTTCTTCTTTCAGTCCCCACCGACACGCGGTGACAACGATCACCTCGAGGCATGGGCGACAAGTATGACGCTGTGCCGAGAGACGCCAACTGCAGACCTCACAATACAGAGTGCCGACGGCGTGGACGAAGGGTGTATGAAGCACTACAAGCATCATCATCGCTGGCTGGGGCAGCTGCTCTGTGGTTTGAGAAGCCAGTATATCATTTCTCTGGACAGTACAGAGCAAGAGTGCGCATGATGCATTCATACGACTCCGTATACGACGCATTGAAGCTATGCTTGCCAATTGCCTGGCATCTTACCCGACATCTGCGCATGTCATTGTCTGGAAGCTACTTGTCGGTCTGCAATAGCAACAGAGCCGGCCTGCAGCACGGCTAATAAGAGAGGGCCATCAGACGATACATGTACATGCATTCATGCTTGTGCTGCATCTACCTATGTACCAGGACTGGACCATGGTGGTTGTACTTGCTAGACACCCTCCGGATCGGCCTGTGGACTGGACTCCCGAACTGGCAGAGAAACGATGACGGTCAGCTCCTAAGCGCGTCTTCGGGGGGGCTATGACGCGCTGCCACATGACGTTTTCCACGTTAGCAGACAAGGAACAAGGGGCTGCCAAGTGGCCTGCCTGCATATCTGTAGCCTACACCCACTGACCCAGAACATACGGGTGCCTGGTCTCTGGCGGAATCGAGCCGACGCGGCGACCAGGCAACGCCAACCGGGCCAGATTAGCAGCTTTGGCGCAGACTTTGCCCGGTTTGGGATGGATCTTGTGGCGGTTGCCATCTCACGATGCTACGAAGGGCGGTCAGCACCAGCGGGCTGGCTGGCGGGCTGGCTCGCTGGCTCGCTGGCCATCGAAGGGAGAACCGGTAGCTCTTCAAACGTGTGCGAGGCCATGCACTGGTGTCCAGCCGCTGGTCCTTCGACGAGCCGGTTCGTTCAAGACAAGAGACAGATCCTGCAAAACATCCCACGACGAGTCGCGGGCTCCAAGGTCCAGTCTTCAACGGCCCTTAAGTAAGCCAGCTACCATACCGTACGATGTTCATACATATGCAGCTCCCAGGCCATTGGTTCCGGCACGACGCCACACAGCACTCCATCACACAGGTCGGCCTACCTAACCAGCAGCTGCTCTTCGACAAGTCGCCCGTCGCTTCGCTGCTCTGGCCGTCAAGCATCAGCCAACCCAGTCCTGAGGCCCCGTGTAGAAACAGGCGGTGCGCAGATAGTATGCAAATACTACGGGTACTCAGGACCGCAGCCCACAGCCACGTCGACCATGCAACCAGTCGCATCGGCCGCGCTAGCTTGAGCGGCAATGGGTTTCCAATTGAGCGGTCGCCAAACAAGTCTTGCAGACACAACGCGAGCTAGCACGGCACGGCGTCGCATGCAAGACTACATGCCGTGGGCCATCTGGGATTGTGGATGCCTGAGTGGATCGCTGTCTACCTTGAATAGGCACTCAATGATGGAGCCCAAATTGTCCACATGCTCGGAAAGAAAGAATCGCCAGGGGGCTCCTGTTCGCAATTCCGACTGTTCCCAAGGCCTCCCTCCCTCGTCAAAGCCTTGTCTGTCTAAGACCTGTACGTACAAGTGTACCGCCGTTACGGAGAACTCCTTCCTTGATGTTCTGCACGGGTAGCGGTCGTACTACCGTCGACAAGGTTCAGGGACTCATCGTGTACGATATGAAGCGCACACGCACAGACATATCTACCTATGACTACAAGTACATGTTTGTACGAGCTGTTCACGAGCAACACCGGTGACAGATCCCTGGTACATACAGACAGCGCTCTCCATGTTCCAGAGGAGTTAGTGTTGACGGCAGAAGTGGAAATGGGGGCACACCTGAGCCAGAACGAGGAAACAACTCTAGGGCATCAGAGGCTATGCTCGCATTCTTCGACTAATACTCGCACCACAGAACTGGAATCTCGATTCACAGCACCAATCTGCAAAGTGCTCACCCGCTCAACAGATAGATACACTCTATTTCACTTCAGGTAACTGCCAGAACTGTCGCTGGCAGATACAGGCAACGCTGCACTCGTGCTTGCATGCTTTGAGGCATATCAGCTCATGGCTCCCTGTTGTCTTACAGTATGTACGATGTACCTACGCTGTAGCTGGCGGCAAGGCCTCAAGACCCCAATCTAACTGCTTTCAATGGCTCACTTGTCCGTCCTGGGAGGCTCTTGCGGCGATCCCCCCCCTAGCTGTCCAACGGAAGCGAGAGGACAAACGACTGGGGATGCTGTCATAGCTGCATTGGACGGAGGAAACAAACATGGTGCTTCGGCAGAAATCGAAGAAGACTACGGAGTACTGGCACTATTGAGTGCGCCATGCTTTGTACCCTTGAACCTTGAACAAGAACCACGTACGATGTACTTCGTACTTGTAGGGTTGACAGCCTTCATTCGATGAAACCTTGCTGGGTACGAAATCCAGGGCAGCCATCAGAAGGTTAATCTGCGTGCTTACATCCTGAATCCTCGTGCGTCAAGCTATCGTGCTTCGCACTTTGGTGTACCACACAATGAGGCACCAAGGCTCTTGCTGCCCAACCTGGAGGTTGCGGTAGGTCGGCCCGTTGACACGCAAGAGACGGCTGAATATAGACATACCGGTGCCAGTACATACGACTGCCTCCAATGGTGCTCGATTCACCTCGACCGGGGACGTCAGGCCCGACCTGACTCGGTTAATGTTGGTCCTTTTCACGTCTAACCACGGTCAGTATCACCGCTATACGGAGCCTTGCCCACATGGCTTGGTGTATGTCTTGCTTCTATTCCGCTCCCTTGGGTTGGACGCCGTGTGGCTGTTCCCGCAGTCCAATCCTCTTCGGCCATCCGGCGACTGCGGCGCCTAGCCAGTATGGGGAGGGTTCCTGGGCCCCCCAGATGCCGGTAGCCTCATGGAGACATAATTTGGGGGCAGAAATGATGCAAAGGGGATGAAGCTGGAGAGTCGAAGCACGTGGTGCTTATTCCTCTGGAGATTAATCTCTATGCGAACCAGGCACGGAGTGCAACACACCATTACCTCTTGGATCGCGATGGGCGCGTTGTACTCCGTACTGACCGATGCTTCTGTTGCTGCAGGTGCAATGAATGAGCACTTGGCACGCTGCCTTGGTTTTACTAGGTATTGCCTGGACAAACTCACTAGGCACCTTGGTGGTGCCCTCGAAAGGGTAGCCGGGCAAAACTTGGCGACTCCCGTCACCTACTATCTATCTACTATTTCGATCAAGCTTTGCCGGCCAAAGGGGTGCGGCCAGAAAGGCTGTATGTATATGCTTCGTGCAGAACTGCAACCAGGACGACCACCACCGACGGACCTGTACAATACGAAGCGCGAGTACTTGGACATGAACTGGCTTGCTCAATATTACAACACCAGTACTGGTACGAGTATGCCTGCCGGTTCGTACAAGGAGCCCTATCGGGTAGCTGGGGGTTGCATTTAACCAAGGTGGTGTTATCGACGTGTCAAAGTACCTGGCTCTCCGCTCAACTTACGGTGTAGCTCTGGTACCCTACCTATCTTATTAGCAGCCTCTAGCTGCGAATCTTTGCATTCTCCGTGGTCTGTGCCTCATGACAACAAGACTTTGAGTTGTCACGCAGGCCCCGAAGAAGGAAGAAGCAAGTGTCCCAAGGCTTTCCCTTTTCATCTCTTCCTGCATTGGCCACGTCGGAGGCAGCTCAACCGGCGATCTCACTCGGATGGAGCAGGCAGGAAGAGACAGTCTAGATGGCCGCTCCCTTAATCCCATGTCTCTCCATCGTGTCGGCGGTGGCTGACTTGGAACATGGCTTCGGACCTCGTTCGAACCCCTTGGCCAGGCATCGAAGGATTTGCCTAGCACCGACTTCGCACACCGGTCTGCCCATCAGTGCCTTCGCATTTCACCCCAAGGGCTCATCACACAGCGGACCAACCACCCCAACCACCAGTTTTATCGGCAATAAGGCTTTCACGATTCGATGGGATGATCTCACCTGCACAGACCAGACCGCCCCGCCCGGATGCCAGGCATGTCCTGTGCCCTGCCGGCTTGCCCATTGGCGCTCACACGAAATCCGACCTGTCATGGAGCCTGAGTCTGTCATTTCCTCCTCAACTTGTCTACTCCTCGTACATCTACTGCACTTGCCGGTAATACAGCTACGAGTACTTCCTACTTGATATTACTTATACAGGTACGCTCTGATGGTCCAGCAGTCCTCATGTTAGCACCTAGTACTCCGTAAGGTATTGTTCACCTCAGTCTCGTAGTACTTATCCTCGGTATACCGTACATGGTTGGAAGACCCGTGCCCTTAGGTACATAGGGCAGTCACTCTATCCAACAACGGTTCTCGTCGTCGATGCGGCAAGCGGTGATGGGCGCCCTTTTTCTTGTCGGGGATGCGCCGCAGACCGCCGCCGCTCTTGGGAGTTTATCCATCTTCATGCGGTTGCAAGATTCTCGTCCCGATGCATGGGTTAGGGTGACCCTCAATTCCTAGGACATGCAGCATGCTTGCATACAGTACTTCGAACTAGCAAGTACATACATGCGATACGTGCTTGTCTCCAAGTTGGGGAGGCATGCCAAGCGTGCCTCTGTCTGGACGTGGAGAGCTCTTTGATTTTGGGTACGCAAGGATATCCAAGTATCATCCACCGCACCAGCAATAAGGATGAAGCCTCGGCATCTTGAATTGCAAATGGGCATTCCATGCTTTCACTCAATATCAACAGGCCAACACGCCACTGCTCCCTAGGGCCGCTCTCCTTGGACCGTCAAAAGGCGTCTGAGGTAGCGACACACTACTACTCGCACTTCGCACTTGCAAGCGACATGTGTGTATGCGTTGGCCGCAGATTGCACTAGGAGGGATCACTGGACTGCTCCGTGCCCAATGGATGGGACGCTTCCCGTCTCTGCGGGTGCTTTACACATCATTGGCTCTGCCACGAAGCTCAGGGCGGCTAGCAGTGCCCATGCACATATCACGCATGCACGACCTCGACTAGTTTCCACACCCGTCCCTGACTCCCGGGCCCTTCCATGGCCTCGACGCGGGGGGCCCCAAGGCAAGGGCTCAAATCCCAAACCTGGTTGCCGAGACATGTTCTCCGCCGAGGCCCGTTATGCGGCCTTCCCTCGTCACGCAGGATACGTACTCGTACACACATGCCACTTGGACACATGTGGTGACACTCGACAGAAACTGACCCGGTTCCGTGGTATTTGCCGCGGGATGAGATTATCTAATGTGTTCTTCGCCGGCTTTGGGGGCCTCGCTGTTGGAGAAATCTTCCGGGGGCAGGATGCATCTGGACGCATCGAGGGGTAGCTGCATTCTTCCGCTTGTGCCCGTCCCAAATCTGCTCGACGACTGAGAATTCGAGTCCTACGCTGTGGGTGCCCGTGAATACCATTCAACGAAGCATCGCTGGCGAACAACGCACACGGGCACCCACCACATCTGTCGAAGCCGAAGGCCCAATGTACCTTACTTACGAGTACGACTGAAGCCGAGGTCTTGTCGTTTTGCTGCATCCCGAGAAACCGCTCTCCAACCACCAGCACAGGCTGTGAGCCATCGACATTCCTGCAGATTAGCGTGAGCAAAGGGGCCGTTGGATGGCAGCAGATTGCTGGCGCCTGGGAAAGACGAGCCTTGATTCAGTCCGAGGCCGCGATGCATCTGGCAATCTTGCTTCCATCAGGATGACTATGGAGTGCTACCTACAAGTGCCAGGCATGATACCACTCAATGTCTCATCAAAGCGGCCTTGGCTGTGATGAAACCCTTGGTAGTTGCACTGCTAGCTTGCATTTGTTGTCTATCCGCTCGGTTGCTGCTTTTCTGAAGCAGTCATGTGCTATCCATGGGTTTTCGTGCCGGGACGAGTGCTGCCATGCCTTGGGAGATACCAGCGTACGCACCTGACGATAGTGGCACGGCGAGGTACTTCTTCTACGCCACTAGCTGGAGTAATCTGCCTCGTCAAATTTCAGAAGAAATGAGACAAGAAATGAGGTTGACTGGGCTAGCAGTGAAGCGGAGCTTGGATCACAGTTCTATCGGTACCACCTAAGGAAGTACTATGAAGTGCTACAAATGTACGATGGGACTGTACTCTACTGGAGCAGCATGAATCGATGGCTTGCATCATCACCCGCCACCAGCATCAGTGGCTCATTTCTGGGCTCCTTGTGTAGGGATCGGGCATCCATCGTCCGAGCTTACCATGGCGACCCAACACGATAATTTCATGTCCCAGTACTACCTCGTGCTGCAAGTACAAGTACAAACAACAGTTACCTTATACCAAAGATGGCACTACCATGGACGAGGTGATTGCGGATTGCGCTCAAGAAGAAGAAGCGAAAAGGGCATCTCAGCTCTTTACCAACACTTTGCCACGGTCAGCTGCGCTCCACTTGCAAGGCAATGAGGCCTACGGGAACGCTTCGTGATGTGCCCAGCCTTGGGCAATCAAACGCGCCGTCGCGGACCGTCTGGATCCCAGCTCGGCTGCACAGACGCCTGCTTGTGGTCGGGCTAGCAGATCTCCATGGTGCATGGCGCATGCGCGAGATGTGAGATTTGTCGAGATCAAGCGCAGGCACCTGGGCGCTTCGTTGTAAGTAGGCAGCCGGGACAAAGTAATGCGGTGCAAATGCGGCTTGCCTCGTCTCCTCTTTATATTGGGTGTCCACATGTGACAACGACCTGGCCCAACCGTTCAAGGTTGAGTCGCACGACGCCCGCTCAGCTGCTCGACAAAGAGGCGAGAGAAAGAGGCACTCTTTTTTTGCCTCGGGCCGTTCCTAGCTCTCTATGTGCGCTGTGAACACTCGACGGCGTTTCTCAACCACGGCCAATGACTTCAAGCGTTCTGCGCTGATGCGCTGGCGCTGTGGAAGCTCTGTTGCGAGAGGGTGGTGGTGGCTGGCTAGCTGGCTAGGTCATCACGTCTATAAGCTTGCATCGTCACTGAGGCCTCTCCGCCGCCTCTGGATCTGCCTTTCTTCTTCTAGCTCGTTTCTTTTCTTTTTCTTTTCGCGGATGCGCTATTCTGCGGGCTGCTTTTTGCGCCTAGAGTAGTACGGAGTAGTTGGGGCTGAGAGATTACAATCCCGCGCCGCTGCCGCTTGCACTTGTACTTGTATTAGAGCTGCAGCGGTGCTTGTGAGACGAGGAAAGAAGATCTTTGTCAACCCATGCTCAACCCACGGAGCATGGTACCGACTAGCGAGCAGGGCGGGTATAGGATACAGTCGATGTTAGGCATGGTACTTTGCGAGCAGCAGTACTCTGGACTTTGCAGGCGTGTGAGCGGACACATCGGATGGGAGATGATGGGGCCAGGCCGGAACAGGGGGTCCAGGATGACGCGACAACTTCTCCGTACCGTATGTATCTATGGCATGCATTGCATCCAGACTAACAAGCTCGACAACCGGACCCTGCAAACCACCGTGGACTTGACTTTTACTGACTCCATCCGCCTACCCGGTTCATGCAGCGTTCTACGGTGGGCCTATCACCCAGCTTGCTTTCCGCAGCGATTGTTGGAAGGGATGCTGCCAACTAGGTAGTTGTACACCGGCTGGTTGTCCGATGCCATCGGCCGACGAAGCGTAGGGATGATGGGAGAGACTCACCTTGCCTTGCCTTGTCTCGCATGGCCTGGCCTGGCCTTGTCCCCTGGTGCTAGTACTGGCATTGCCGCTACCTTAACGGTGTCATGCAACGAGGCGTGCATTGGAGCGGCCAAGGTGACATGTCACGGGATCCCTACGTCGAGCGAGTGGTTGGCAAGTTGGGTGCTTGAGATTGACGACAAGAGGGAGCTGCTCCCGCCATGTGCCAGGGAGAGAAGGGGAGGGAGTGAGTGATGCGACCACCACCCACCACTCCTTATTTCTGCTTCTTCTCATGCTCCTTACTACTACCAGACGTTACACATGCCACCACGACTACAGGATACTACTACTACGAGTTAGCAGCCCTGGTGATGTGTACTCCATGCATCTCGGCCCCGCAAAGAAGCCCTGCTGCATGCGACTACAAGCTACCAGCCATTCAACGTGGCGATTGCCTAGCGGTTGGTTTACGGGACACCCGCCTCGCTCTCCTGCCAACAGCGCGCACTAGATAGGTAGAGGGTTGATGGGTCGATGCCCGACTTTCAAATGGGAGTTGAGCTGAGTCGAAGGCATTGCACCCGTGAGTTCAATGTGATGATGCATTCATGCAAGGGGGTGATCATCCATCCTCTCAGGCTGCAGTGGCTGTTTTGTAACCGGGAGACAACCTCGTCGGGCTGGAACATTGCTGCTGTTGCCGCCAATAAGGAGGAGACGGGGTCGAGCTGGTTCCGAAGAATGAGGCCGCTTCTCGAGTGCGACAATTGCTCTTTGTGCTACGAAGCACTACATGCTCTCAGCAAGTCTCTTCCAGGGAACTGCGGAATGAAGGACAGCGTCCAGCGTCCAGCGCTGACAAGCGAATCACAATGCCACTGTGATCCAACATGATGCGATTCGAAAGCAGCCAGCGCTTAGGGGGTATTGCCCGCATGAGAGTGTGAGCCACGTGAAATGCGACCTTGACAGCGACCCTAACATGCCCGATGTGATTCGTCGCTGTCGGACAAATCCTGCTCAGGCAACAAAAGCTGCAATGAGTTCCGCGCTGCATGCTTTATCTTGTCTCACCGGGGGCGGGCTCTTGGCTGGCATTGGGTAGCTCATATGTGCGCAGTTGGGGAAGCTGAGCCTGCCCGTCTTTTACGTTTGTTGGTGCCTACGCTTCGAATGAGCTGCAATCTCGGATATGCGGGGTGTCCGTTGCAAACGATGGAGGTTTGCTAGTCACTCGAAGCAAAGCGCGGCGTCTCTCTACATACATAGTATTTGCCTCGTGTGAATGTGGAGGGTGGTGGATCGTCGATTACGGCTGTGACCTGGTAGTAAGTCTTGCGGGCTTTAAGCAACCTCACCCGAAAGGGCGAAAAGGGGGGCGGATCAATACAGCGATGGAACAAACACCCGACAGCACAGACTCTCGAGCATTGCAAGACGTGCAAGAGATTGACAATAGCAGTCGTACAGACGACGGAAACGTCTCCTACTTCAGCTGACGCATGCAGGCAGCCGGCGAAATACCAATTCTTGTCGTACGAGTACCAATCCCGGGTAGCTTGACGGCTTCATGGCTCGCGGCATCATCAACCCAGACTTCCGGGTAATACCCCGTTGAACCCCCACATTATCTCCTACCCCGCCATTGTTCCTCCAGAGAAACTCCGTGATCGCTGGGCTGGGGCATGGGATATAAGGTTACTCGATATATGAGATGAGGTGATTTGTGATTTTGCCAGATTTCAAGTTCACAAAAGATCCGAATTCCCAGAACGTCGGCTACCTTCAAAACAACGTCTACTTACAGAAACCATCTCCGGGTCTCGTGGTAATATCTCATTGAACAATGGCTGTCGACGGCTTTCAGGAGTGGAAGGTGGACAAGCCTTGGCTTGAGCTGAAGTGCGCACTCGGCGAGGGACCGTTCTACGAAAAGGAGACCAACACGCTGCGTCTGGTGGACATCAAGAAGAAGCAGATCCTCACCGTGTCTCTGAATGACAGCGGAGACGCCTCCTCCTTGAAGACGATCCAGCTGGACGTCTGCCCAACCGTCACGGCCGACATCGAGGGAGTGGACCCCCAGGAGCGCATCCTCATCGGTGTCAAGCATGGACTTGCGGTATTGGACCGTCAGAAGGGAACATATGACCTGTTGACTCCGTTCAACGCACCAGAGCACAATGACCGGATTCGCTCCAACGACGGGGCGGCAGATCCCCATGGCAAGTTCTGGCTGGGGACCATGACGGACTTTGGACGGGGAGGACCTCAACCTGAAGGTATGTTGAAGTATGAAGTCATGAAGATGGCTGCTTGTTTACCCTTGATGCCCTTTTTTTTCGCCCCCAAAGGACTTTCTTCCCCAGAGTATTTGGCTCACCCCTCCCCCCCTTTTTCTTCCCACGCTGATGCTGACGGCTTCTTTTCTATGCTGCGGATGCAGGCTTCCTTGCACGCTTTGATTCGTGCAATTCAAAAGAGGAGGTCCTGAGGGACCTGGTCATCCCCAATGGCATCGGCTGGTCACCGGACAACAAGACCATGTACTTTACGCACTCCCAGACGCGCGAGGTCTTCGCCTTTGACTACGCCCCCGAGACAGGGGCCGTCAGCAACAAGCGGCTGTGGTATCGCCACGAGGGCCCGGGCGAGCCCGACGGGTTCCGCGTCGACGTGGAGGGCAACGTGTGGCACGCCGTGTGGGGGGAGGGAGCGGTACTCAAGATCGACCCTCGGGGCAGGGTTATCGGGAGGATCGCGCTGCCGACGAGGAACATCACCTGTGTGCAGTTTGTGGGTATGGAGCTGCTCATCACGTCAGCGTCGGACGAGGATGCGGATGCGGACGAGACGAGTAAGAGGTTTGGGGGGGATCTGTTTAGAGTCGATGTGGGGACTACGGGGTTGGAGTTGTTCAAGTTTAAGCTGTGAGTCTGATGGCGAGGGCTGATTATGTCTCTTTTAGTTTGCGGATGAGGTACTGGAGAGCGAAGAATGGCATCGTTAAGCATGGTAGAAGGAGCGGGATGTAGACGGATGATTTCCGTAGTCTTGGCTATTTCCGCAATGTAGAGCTGCTTCACCTGTTAGAGTTGTCTAGAACGAAACCCATGGCTGAACAAGAGCCTTCAAGGTTACTGAGAGATGATGAGTTTTGAGCAGCCAAACTACAAGGCGTAAAGGATTCTTCCTTACACCAGAGGTGCGTGATCCTGTCTCTTTCACATGTGAATGATGGTAGACGGGGCAGCCTGGTCTGACGAGCAGGGGCCCGGGAAGGGCGAGAACACAAAGGAAGAGAGGTATGAAGTAAGCTAGATGAGGTGTCCAAAGTCGCCCTACTGTACGCCAAGTATGCAGTTGTCAGGTAGGTCGTGCTGCTGCAGAGGGACGTTTTGATATGGAACTTTGCATCGCAAGCATACGAAGGAAGCTAGTAGATAGACTAAAGTTGCTTGCAAGAACTAGAAACTGTAGGTTTGTTATTTGTAGGATGCTTTAGAGTTATTGCCGGGACAGAGAACACGAGGACGTCGTTATCCAAGTTGTAGTGTGAGACTTGTGAGTATCCTTGACTTTATGAGACCTGTGCGAAACAGAGGTTTCATCGTTGGAAGGGACGTTGAAAGTTGTTGTGATATGCTTTACTTGATCTCTTCCTCTACTCCGTACGGCAGATGTGGTGTCGTGGAATGCACTTTGCACTTAGTTGTGACTAGGTACTTTCACCGTGGTATCGTAATGACAGGTCAAGTCTAGGTATCAACTAACATCACAGATCTCGTGGGCTTCTGCTCACATGGATCGACCTGCTTTTCTTCTGGACCCGATCCAAACTGTCATACGAGGGATCTACTGCAAGCTACGAAGTTCCATACTACTACAGGTAGCACATAATACGCACCCCTGGTATGTACATGCCACCACATCACAGCAACCAGCACGGACTTCGCATGCAGTCTTGTCAGAGGGGGGGGGGGGGG